TGTCCACTCTGTCAAAAAAAAAAAAAAAAAAAAGATAAGTGATGGGGAGATTAGCACAAGTACAAGGAATGCAGAACAGACGGTTCTCAATCAGACCGGATATGGCTTGCAAAGACTTCACAGATTTGGCTTACAAGGTATGTTTTCAACAAGGTTTCTCAACCTCAGCAGCAGAATCACTTGGAACTAGAAAATTTTTTGCTGTGGGGGCTGTCATGTGGTCTCTACCCACTAGGTGTCAGTAGCAATCCCCCAGGAGTGACAACTAAGTTTGTCTGCAGACACTGGCAAATATCCATGGTGAGAGAGGGGTAGAGTAGGGCTGTAGTGCTTAATCAGCAGCATTCTTTTTCTCTCTATTTTTTTTAAAGATTTTATTTATTTATGAGGTGGAGTTACAGAGAGGGAGAGAGACAGAGGAAAAAGGTCTTCCATCCGCTGGTTCACTCCCCAAATGGCCACAATGGCCAGCACTGGGCCAATCTGAAGCCAGGAGCCAGAAGCTTCTTCTGAGTCTCCCACATAGGTACGGGACCCAAGGACTCAGACCATCTTCCACTGCTTTCCCAGGCCATTAACAGCTGAACTGGAAGAGGAGCAGCTGGTTCTAGAATAGTTGCTCATATGGGATACTGGCACTGCAGGCGGAGGCTTAGCCTACTATACCATAGTGTTGGCCCAGCTGCATTCTTTATGGGCACTGGTTCCAGTCCCCACTTCTGATCCAGCTCCCTGCTAATGCGCCTGAGAAAGCAGCAGGAGATGGCCCAACTACCACATCCACATGGGAGATCCAGACAAAGTTTGGCCTGTCCCAGCTCTAGCCACAGCAGTCATCTTGGGAGTAAACCAACAGATGCAAGGCCTCTCTCTCTTTCCATCTTTCCCTCTCTCTGTTACTTTGTCTTTCAAATAAATAAATATTTATTAAAAATATCCTCTGGGGGAGAAAAAGTGGTCCTGGCTGAGAAAAGGCATTAGAGTCAGAGCAGGGCCTGGGCCTTTTGGAGCAAATAAAATAACATGAAACATAACTAGAAAACAGCACAGGGTTTGTGTTAGAGATGTATTGAAAGATGAAGATAGGGGCTGGCGTTGTGGCATAGTGGATAAAGCCGCTGCCTGCAGTGCCGGCATATCATATGGCTGCTGGTTCGAGTCCTGGTTGCTCCACTTCTGATCCAGCTCTCTGCTATGGCCTGGGAAAGTAGTGGAAGATGGCCCAAGGACTTGGGCCATACCCACGTGGGATACCCGGAAGAAGCTCCTGGCTTCCGACTGGCAGGTGCTCCAGCTGTTGCGGTCAATTGGGGAGTGAACCAGTGGACAGAGGACCTCTCTCTGCTTCTCCTTCTCTCCTCTCTCTGTGTAACTCTGACTTTCAAATAAATAAATAAATAAATCTTCAAAAAAAAAAAAAAAAAAAAAGATGAAGACAAAGAAGGCAGGAGTCCAGCACTAAGGGCCCTGGTGTAGTAGGCTAGTTAGAATTATACTAGGCGCTGTGGTGTAGTAGGCTAAGCCTCTGCCTGCGGTGCTGGCATCCCATATGGACACCAGTTCATGTCCTGGCTGCTCCTCTTCCAATTCAGCTCCCTGCTAATGGCCTGGGAAAGCAGCAGAAGATGCCTCAAGTGCTTGGGACCCTGCACCCATGTGGAGAGTCCAGGAAGAAGCTCCTGGCTCTTGGCCTCAGATTGGCTCAACTCCAGCCATTGTGGCCATTTGGGGAATGAACCAACGTATGGAAGACCTTTCTCTCTGTCTCTTTCTCTGTCTGTAACTCTGCCTCTCAAATAAATAAATAAACATTTTTTAAAAATAAAAAAGAATTAGCCTAAAAGGGGCTGGCATTGTGGCATAGTGGATTAAACCGCCGCCTGAGGTGCTGGCATCCCATATGGGTACCAGTTTGCTGCTCCACTTCTGATCTAGCTCCCTGCTAATGTGCCTGGGAAAGCAGGGGATGATGGCTCAAGTGCTTGGACACCTGTGCCCACAAGGGAGACCTGGAAGAAATTCCTGGCACTGCGAAGCCTGAGGCATCATTTTTATCTTTTTTTTTTTTTTTAAATTTTATTTATTTGAAAGGCAGAGTCAGAGAGAGAAGAAGAGACAGAGAAAGAGATCTTCCATCCAGTGGTTCACTTCCCTAATGGCCACAATAGCCAGGGCTGGGCCAAGCCAAGCAGGAGCCAGGAGTTTCATCCAGGTCTCCCACATGGGTACAGGGACCCAAGGACCTGGGCCCATCTTCCACTGCTTTCCCAGGTGCATCAGCAGAGACCTGGATCAGAAGTGGAACAGCCAGGACTCGAATCAGGCCTCATATGGGATGCCAGCTTAACCCAGCACACCACAATGTCGGCCCTGTGACTTTTTTATGGATGTCAGTTTGTACTTTTTTCTTTTTTTCTTAAGATTTATTTATTGTTTGGAAGGCAAAGTTGAGGGGAGAGAAAGACACAGAGAGAGATCTTCCATTCACTGGTTCACCCCCCAAATAGTTCACTCCCCAGATGGCTGCAACGGCCAGAGCTGGGCCAATCTGAAGCTAGGAGCCTCTTCCGGGTCTCCCCTGTGGGTGCTGGGGCCCAAGCATTTGAACCATCTTCTGCTGTTTTCCCAAGCGTTAGCAGGGAGAGGGATCATAAGTGGAGCAACTCTAACCAGAGTCCACATGGGATGTCAGTACTACAGACAGCGGCGCCGGCCACCAGTTTGTATGTTTTAATTTTTTGACAATTTCAGACTTACAAAAAAGTTGTGAGAATAGTGCAAAGAATTTACATACCCTTCATTTACATTTCCCAAACGTTAAGACTGTACCACATTTATTATATAATTCTTTCTACATATACAACCAGATGGATTTTTTAAAAGTTTTTCTAAAAAACTCAGAGTAAATTTCAGACTTTACACTTTTATCCTTCTGTTGGTTCACTCCCCAAATGACTGCCTCGGCCAGAGCTGCGCTGATCTGAAGCCAAGAGCTAGGTGCTTCTTCCTGGTCTCCCACGCGGGTGCAGGTGCCCAAGCACTTGGACCATCCTCCACTGCCCCCCCGGGCCACAGCAGAGAGCTGGACTGGAAGAGGAGCAACTGGGACAGAACCCGGTGCCCATATAGGATGCCGGCGCCACAGGCGGAGGATTAACCAAGTGAGCCATGGCGCCGACCCCGTCATCCAGATTTTAAAAACTCCTTTAATCTGAAAGTCTTTCTGCCTTTCATGACCTTGACATGCTTTAAGAACACAGACCACTTAAATGACAATGTACCTCAATTTTCGTTCGCCAAATGACTCTTCATGATTAAAGTGAAGTTTTCATTTTGGGGCAAAAACACCACAGTAATGATGCCGGGTTCCTACTGCGTCCCATCAGGGGCACGTGGTACTGCTCTGTATCGTCACTGGTGATGGGGATGTTAACCCTCTGGTTAAGTGTTGTCTCCCAACTTTCTCTCCTGTAGAGTTACTAGCTTTCCTTTGTAATTAGTAAGAATCTTGTGGGGAGACTTTGAGCATGTACATCTGCAGAATTTTAAGCAAGAAACTGACATGATCAGTTTTCTGTTTTACACAAGTGAGTCTAACAGCTCTGTAGAAAAAAAAAAGAAAAAACAAGAAGGGAAGATGAAAGGAAGTGGGACCTTTTACAAAATTGTAAAAATTCAGTATTAAAAAAAGTATAAGGGCTAGAACTGTGGCAAAGCAGATTAAGCTACTGGATGGGATGCATAGATTCCTTATAGGAGTAACTGGTTCAAGTCCCAGGTATACTGTGCTGGAGATGGATCTGGTTTCCCACTAATGCATGAAGTAAACAGCGTATGGTGGTCCTAGTGCTTGGGCCCCTGTCATCCACAGGGAAGATCTGAATGGATTCCTAGCTCCTGGCTTCAGCCTGGCCCAATCCTGGCTGTTGCAGTTATTTGGAGAATGAACCAGCAGATCGAAGATCTTTCTCTTTCCCTCTCTACATAATAATTGTTTATTCATTTAAACAAATAAATAATAACTTTTAAAAAGCCAGGGTCAGCACTGTGGCGTAGCATGTAAAGCCATTATCTGAGACGCCAGCATCCCATATGGGCACCAGCTCAAGTCCTGGCTGCTCCACTTCCGATCTGGCTCCTTGCTAATGGCACCTGGGAGAGCAGCAAAGGATGGCCCAAGTGCTTGAGCCTCTGCACCCATGTGGGAGTCCTGGAAGAAGCTCCTGGCTTCAGTCTGGCCCAGCCCTGACCATTGAGGCCATCCTTGGAGTGAACCAGCAGACTGAAGCTCTCACCCTGTATCTCTCCCTAACTATGACTTTCAAATAAAATAAATCTTTTTTTTTTTTTTTGACAGGCAGAGTGGACAGTGAAAGAGAGAGACAGAGAGAAAGGTCTTCCTTTTGCTGTTGGTTCACCCTCCAATGGCCACCACGGCTGGCGCGCTGCGGCCAGCGCACCGCACTGATCCGATGGCAGGAGCCAGGTGCTTATCCTGGTCTCTCATGGGGTGCAGGGCCCAAGCACCTGGGCCATCCTCCACTGCACTCCCGGGCCACAGCAGAGAGCTGGCCTGGAAGAGGGGCAACCGGGACAGAATCCGCTATGCCACAGTGCCAGCCCCACAGTTAACACTTTTGTAATATGATTTTTTAAAATCTGTATTTATTTGAGAGGCAGAGAGGGAGGGAGAGAGAGAGTTCCCATTTGCCGATTCACCCCTCAAACGCTCTCAATAGCCAGGACTGTGCTGGGCTGAAGCAGGAAGCTAAGAACTCAATTCAGGTCTCATGTGGATAGCAGGAACCCAACCACCTGAGCTGTCAATGCTGCCTCCCAAGATGTAGATTAGCAGGAAACTGGCCAGGAGCCGGAGGCAAATATCAAACCCAGGTACTCCAATACAGCATGCAAGCCTGTCAACCAGCATCTTAATAACTGGGCTAAATGCCTGCTCTGTAATATCACTTTTTGTTTTTAAAGATTTTTTTTTTTTTTAGAGGCAGAGCCACGAAGAGACAGATTTCCCATGTATCCCATACGGGCACCGGTTCGAGGCCAGGCTGCTCCACTTCCGATCCAGTTCCCTGCTAATGCACCTGGGAAAGCAGCAGAGAATGGCCTGAGTACTATAGCAGGGTAGGAGACCTGGATGAAGCTGGCTTCTGTCTTCCGTGTGGCCCAGCCCTGGCAATTGTGGGAGTGAACCAGCAGATGGAAGATCTCTGTCTCTCCTCTTCTCTCTATAACTCGACATTTCAAATAAATAAATCTTTTTTTTTTTTTTTTACAAAAAGAAAAGTCCTAGGAAGTAAGTATAGTTTTTATCCTCAGTTTACAGACCAAAAAACAGATGCCCAAGAGGTCCTGTAACTTGACTAAGGTCACAGAGCTACAAACAAGAGGCAGATGAACCCAGGCCAGCGAGGTCCTGGAAGCTGCTTAAGCCACAATGACTCTTCATATATCACTAAGCCAGCAAACACTTGGCAACAGAAGAACTTCCTACAAAAAGTTAACAAACTGTCCCTAAGACTTCTGGCACTGCTCAAGTTTAGGTTGGAATCGCATTTGATGATAATCAAGTCCCTCCCACTGGTTCTGCCTGGCTCCCCACCCCTCTGCCCTCCTGCTGCTTGTGTCCTTCCCGGGTCATTTGTTTGGTTCAGAAATGGTGCCCCCTCTAGAGCACTCACTTTTCCTGGAAGATCAATGCCCTTTCTCCTCCCGCCTTGAACATACGCTAACGGAGTGCCAGCCCTAAGGTTTCCTCTCTGGCTGCAGCCCTCACACCCCCTTCCCTGAGCACCCTATATTCACATGTGGAATAAGCTGACATCATTTTCTTTGTTTCTGCCTTCTGTCTTAAAAATAAAGGCAACTTGAGGTCAGAACTCATTCCATCTTGCTATTTTTAGCATTGTGGTATGTAAGAAATATTTAAACAATATTTTACTTAAATTTCAATTTCCTAACCTCCACATAGCATTGACATATATTTATTTAGTATCAAATTATAGAAATAGTCTAAAAAATATGGGGCAGGCTATTGGCTCAGCAGTTGAGACACCACTTGGGATGCCAGCATCCTTTGTCAGAAAGCCTGCAAACCAATTTCCTGCTAATGTGCTCCCTGAGAGGCAACAGACGGTGACCCAACTACTTGGTTCCCTGCTACCCATATAGGAGACCCAAACGAAGTTATAGGGTGGTAGCTTCTGCTTGGCCCAGCCCTGGCTGTTGTGGGCATTTGGGGAGTGACCCAGCAGATGAAGATCTCTCTTTCTCTATCTACTTTAAATGAAAATTAAAAAAAGAAGACTATAAAACAGCAACAAAAACAGAAGATCAACTGGAGACAGGAGAATGTTCTGGAGCAAAGAGGTTCATGAAAGTCAAAGGAAGGGGCCAGCTCTGTGGCATAGTGGGTAAAGCCACCACCTGCACTGCCGACAGACCATACGAGTGCCGGTTCAAGTTCCAGCTGCTCCATTTCTGATCTGACTCTCCGCTATGGCCTGGGAAAGGCAGTAAAGGATGGCTCAAGTCCTTGGACCCCTGCATCCGTATGGGAGACCCAGAAGAAGCTCCCGGCTCCTGGCTTCAGCTCGGCCCAGCCCTGCCATTGCTGACATTTGGGGAGTGAACTAGTGAATGGAAGACTTATCTCTCTCTCTGCCTCTGCCTCTCAAAAAAAAAAAAAAAAAAATCTTTAAAAGAACAACAACAAAAAACAAAGGTGAAAGGAGTTATAGAAAGACAGAGAGAAGTGAGAGTTTTGTTTCACAGATACAGAGTTTAAGTCTTGCAATATGGAAACTTCTGGGGCTCTGTTTTCACCAGAATGCAAATATATTCAACACTACTAAACTGTGTACTTAAAAATGGTTAACATGGTAAATTTTTATATATTTTCTACCTCAAATAAATAAAAATGTCAAAGGAGAGGAAGAATGAATGGGAAGGAAAAGAAGTGTCAAAAGCTACAAAAAGGGGCCAGCACTTGCCACAATGGCATCCCATACCAGAGTGCCAGTTCAAGTCCAGGCTACTCTACTTCTGATGCAGTTCCTGTGAATGTGCCTGGGAAGGCAGCAGATGATGGCCCAAGTACTTGGATCCCTGCTACCCATACAGGAGACAGAAAGAGGGATATCTCTAAAGCAGAAGGGAAGAAAAGAAATGTATAAACAGAAGCCCAGACAGTTTTTTTTTTTAAAAAGTGCTTTTTGGGGCCGATGTGGTGGTGCCAAGGATAAAACCACCACCGGCAACACTGGCATTTCATATGAGCTCCAATTCAAGCTCCGGCTGCTCCACTTCCGATCCAGCTCCCTCTAAAGGCCTGGGGAAGAAGCAGAAGATGGCCCAAGTACTTGGACCCCTGCACTCATGTGGGAGACCTGCAAGAAGTTCCCAGCCCAGGTTGCTGCAGCTATCTGGGGAGTGAACCAGCAGATGGAAGACCTCTCTCTTTCTGTCTCTCCTTCTAACTCTACCTTTCAAATAAATAAATAAATCTTTAAAACAGCTACAACAACCGAGCACTTGGGTCCCTGCAGCCCACATTGGGGACCCAAATACAGTTCTGGGCTCCTGGCTTCAGCCTAGCCCAGCCCCCACTGTTGTGAACATTTGGGAAATGAACCAGAGGGTGTTATCTCTATCTTTCCATCTTTCAAACAAAATGAAAACAAATAAAAATTACTAAGAAATACCAAGAAAAAATTCTGAAAATTTTCTAATGAGGTTTCTGGCGATCCTAAAACAAATGGCTAGGTATGTCCCTCATTAGTACGGAGAAGCTGAGAGATGTGGAAAACCACTGGCCAAGGTCAGGAGCTCCAAGTTTCCCACCACAAAGTCAGGGTGGCTAGGCATTGTTCTAAATCTAAATGGTTTCTTTCCTTTTTTTTTTATTTTTTTTTTTTTAAGATTGATTTTATTTTAAAGTCAGGGTTACACCAAGAGGAGAGGGGAGGGAGAGGGAGAGAGGGCGGGAGAGAGAGGCCGGCGCCACCGGCACCCTGAGGCGCTGGATTCTGTTCTGGTTGCTCCTCTTCCAGTCCAGCTCTCTGCTGTAGCCCAGGAAGGCAGTGGAGGATGGCCCAAGTCCTTGGGCCTTTCGCCTGCATGGGAGACCACAAGCACCTGGCTCCTGGCTTCGGATCAGTGCGGTGTGCCAGCCACAGCGGCCATTGAGGGGTGAACCAACGGAAAAGGAAGACCTTTCTGTCTCTCTCTCTCACTGTCCACTCTGCCTCTCCAAAAAAATAAATAAATAAGAGAGACAGAGAGGTCTTCCATCCAATGGTTCACTCCACAATTGGTTACAACAGCCAGAGCTAAGCCGATCCGAAGCCAGGAGCCAGGAGCCTCCTCCAGGTCTCCCACGTAGGAGGCCAAGGACTTGGGCCATCTTCTACTTCTATTCCAGGCCACAGCAGAGAGCTGGACAGGAAGTGGAGCAGCCAGGTCTCAAACTGGCGCCCACATGGGATGCCAGCACTTCAGGCCAGGGCATTAACTCACTGTGCCACAGCACCGGCCCCTAAAGTTTCTTTATACACCAGGAGGACCCCCACCCCCATTTTATCCAACTTCCTATAACTGCACCCTTTCAGGGTGTGGTCTCAATAATTTAGATTTCTAATCTGGTTAGGGTATTCCCTATTGTCATCTTTGGGAAACCAACACTGACAAAGTTACATACAAACCCAGGTGACAGCTCTGGACGGACAGGCAGGCTAATGCAGGCATTAGGCTCACCTGACCACTCCCAACCCCGCTGCAATTCCAAGCTGCACGCCTCACAAGAGTTCAGCTGCCACTGCCCTGCAGCAGAAGCTTGAATAATACTGAAGCTAGAGGGACGTCAAGAGTCACAGCCGGTGACCACAGCCACTGGAAGCAGCATTTCCTGGATATTCTCTTTGAGATGTGGGCTAGGGAAAGGTCTTGGGAAGTTTCATTCAAACTGGAGAGGAGCAGCACTGTGGTGTCCGTCAGGCTTTCTGGAGTTCTGCAAACCAAAGTTGAAGACTCCTCCCCAGCCTCCGATCCAAACCAGTACCTCTGCACCCTTAGCTCAGCCCTGTTACCCTGGGGCCTCTCTGCTCCTGGCCAGACTAATACAAGAATGCTGGAGCTTCCTCTGTCCATTTAACTTACTGATACGGTTATTTTGCATACTTTCTATACCGGAGAGAGGATTTCAAACCAGATTGTTCCTGAAGGACACTGCCCTCACTTACTCAGGGTTTCTTGAATCTATACGTACAGTTGTGTAAATAGTGCGCATTCATTCATGTTCTATACATGCTAGGAAAAATCACTCTAACCTGTGATTTATATTTTAGGACACAGGCATGCTGCCACCAATCACTGGTAAAAGCATTCTGGTGGAAATCAAGTGTAAGTGCTATACAATCTCCCTTCTATCAATTCTCTCCTCCATGGCCTGCGTACACAAAGACGCAAAGGGGAGAGGATTCTCCAGCTTCAATTACTTCAAACCACCACACAACTAGGGAAAGGGCCCCATGGCCAGCCCCTGTCTCAACAAACACAATTTGTAGGACGTTCAGTCTAGTCAAGAAATTTGGTGGCAAAGGATCGCACAGATGTCCCTACAAATTTTATCCTTTTATGTAGCAGTAGATAACAGCAGAATCCTTAGACTGAAATCACTTCCCCTCTTAGTGATCCAGTTTCCCCACTTCTGAGAGGAGGGAGTAGGGTACATGGCCTCAAAAGTTCTGTTTAATTCTAGAATACTGTGATCCATACTGACTTTGCCCATAGGGACCTGAAAAGTTAGACTTATTTGGTACATTTTAGTTGATTCAACTTACAGAAGAATCCGGAGGGCACATTCTTCAAGAATTCATCGAATGCTTAAGGTGAGGCTTACCAGCCTTCAAAACTAATGACTTCCCACTTGGTCATCAGCACGAGGAACTACCTGTGTGGTTGCCCCAAACCTCACCTCTGTCTCAAACACATATCCCCCCCCACTTTTTTTTTTTTTAGATTTATTTGAAAGTCAGAATTACACAGAGAGAAGAGAGGCAGAAAGAGAGAGAGAGAGAGAGAGAGAGAGAGAGAGAGAGAGAGAGAGATCTTCCATCCGATGGTTCACTCCCCAATTGGCCGCAATAGCCGGAATTGTGCCAATGCGAAGCCAGGAGCCAGGAGCCTCTTCCGGGTCTCCTGCATGGGTGCAGGGGCCCAAGGACTTGGGCCATCCTCCACTGCTTTTCAAGGCCATAGCAGAGAGCTGGATCGGAAGAGGAGCAGCAGGGACTAGAACCGGCACCCACATGGGATGCCGGTGCTTCAGGCCAGGACGTTAATCTGTTGCGCCACAGTGCCGGCCCCCAACATATTCCTTTTGCTTGCAGTAGAAAAAACAATCCTTGCCCTCAATTGAGATGTAGGTTTGAGCCCAATGAGTACACAGGATAAACAAATAACATGACACAAAACTTACCAGGCAATTATCCATTATAGAAGTTGCCAATAAACGTGAGAAGGGCAGGCATTGGGGAGCAGGAGGTTAAGCCTCCACTTAGGATCTCCACAACCAATACTGGAGCACCATATTGGTTTGATTCCTGACTACTCTGTGCCCCCAATCCAGCTTCCTGCTAATGTGCCTGGGAGGCAGCAGGTGATGGCTCAAGTACTTGGGTCCCTGCCAGCTACATGGAAGACTCAGAGGGAGTTCCAGGATCCTGGCTTCAGTCTGGCCCCAGCTGTTATAGCCATCTGGGGAGTGAACCAGATGATGAAAGAGCTCGCTCTCTCTCTCTGTTACTGTGCTTTCCAAATTAATAAATCTTTAAGAGATAATAATAATAAATGTGACATATAACTCACATAAATGAGTACGATGGGGTGGGTTAATCACAGAAAGCTTTATGCAGAGAGGAGTATTGGGAATCAGGTTTTCCAGGGGCAGCAGGAACCCCAGCTGGCAGAGAAGAGGGCTGACACATGGAGCAGGATTCAGTCAAGACTCCTTACCTTCCAAGTGTTGGGGGCAGACTCCCTGTTCACCGGGCTCCGACCCCCTGATGCCTCCACTCAGTGCCACTCAGGAGATGCTCTGAGTAACCCATCTTGTTGGCTATTCGACTGAGGCTTCCTTCCTGGTGACAGGCTCCATTGCCAGGGGGACGGATGTGATGTCACAACCAGGAACACTCTATTAATAGGAACAAGGAGGAGAAACTTGAGTCAGGAGAGCTACCTCCACTTGGCAGTGAGACCGGACAGACGAGGAGGTGAAGTCAGGCCGCTGGGGAGGCGATGACTCCAGCAAGGACCACAGGTTTCAGTGCTAAGCATACGTGGCTGCTCTCTAAGGAGAGAGACCACTGTCCAAGGAATCACTCACAGGGTTCAGTAGATTCACACAGAGCTGGTAGGGGACAGGAAAGCACAAAAGAAAGGGAGAGAAGAGGAAATGCTGCAGACAGAAACGATTCTTTTATTCAGCACACACTACAAGTAATATCAGTAATTCCAAATCTATAGCTCCACAATACATATACCCAAATACCTTATGGTATTATGTTTTTATTTCTTTATGTTTTTATGTTCCCCAAATGCTTTCATGCAATTTATTTCATGTAAACACAATGCTGGCCTTATTTTCCATATTAAAAATACTATTTATTGGGGCCAGCGCCATGGCACAGGTTAATACTCTGCCTGTGACACCAGCATCCCATATGAGTGCCGGTTCTAGTCCCGGTTGCTCCTCTTCCAATCCAGCTCTCTGCTATGGCCTGGGAAAGCAGCAGAAGATGACCCAAGTGCTTGGACCCCTGCACCTACGTGAGAGACCTGAAAGAACCACCTGGCTCCTGGCTTCGGATCGGTGCAGCTCCGGGCGTTGAGGCCATTTGGGGAGTGAACTAATGGAAAGAAGACCTTTCTGTCTCTCCCTCTCACTATCTGTAACTCTACCTCTCAAATAAATAAAAAAATCTTTAAAAAATTATTTATTCTCCACAATAAAAATAATACTTCCTAAAGACATGCTCAACAATGTTGGTACAGGAGTAATTTTTTTTTTTTAGATTATTTATTTGAAATGCAGTGAAGTGGGGAGGGTAGAGAGATCTTCCATCCACTGGTTCACTCCCCAGATGGGCAAGGCTGGGCCAGCCTGAAGACAGGAGCCCCCAACTCCACCCTGGTTTCCCACATGGCTGGCAGGGACCCAAGTACTTGGACCATCATCCTCTGCTGCTTTCCCAGGTGCACTAGCAGGGAGCTGGATTAGAAGTGGAACATCTGGAACTCTAACCAGCACTGCAATACGGGATGCCAGTGAGTTCAGAACCCAATCCAAGTCTCCTACACAGGAGGGTGTAGTGCGTCTTTCACTTTAACAACACCCCATTTCTCAGCACACTGGCACATGCTCCTGAATCTCAAGATTTGTTTCCAGGAACCAGTGCTGTCGGCTATGCTCTCTCCTCGTGATGGCTTCCACGTTCAGAAGGCAAACAGCTGCTCATGCTGGGAGAGACGACCCTACCTCAGTGCCCCCTTGGTCAGAACAAGAGGAGCTTTTACACCAGAGCAGGGGGTCAGCAGTCAGGAGACTCCTGTATGACCCTAAAGCCACGTGACCCTTCGGTGGTTTTCAGTTTCTTCAACTGTCAGGCAGGGGGAAAGGCACCTGCCTTATCTGCCTCCTTTACTGTCAGGGCTTGGTGGGAGAGAAGAACTGTGAACACCTTCATCACACTGCTACTGAGGGCTGGGAGGGGACATCGGAAACAAATCTGTTCCATCTCTTCAGTTACTGGGAACTGGGGCAGCTCCAAGGTCCAGTGGACAACACAGGGTAATGAGGCTACTGCACCAGCGGCCAGCCCGTCCATCGCCAACCGGGGGAAGACCAGCAGCCAGCAAAGGTATCAGCCTCTAGACCTATTATCAAACTAAAACCACTTCACGCTGACTGCCCATCACACGTCAGTCTCAAGGAATACAGGCCTCGGTCATAGCCACGTTTGCTATTAGCGAAATGAAGCCTGCTTCTTAACGGGGAATGCCTCAGTCCTGCTCCTTGCTCCTGAAGGAGCTCCAGAAGAAGTTCCCTGCTCCTTCTGCCCCCCTCACTCCCCACTTTTCCTGGGTCCTGGATGGCGGAAGGCTTTCCGGTGTGCAAAGCCTACAAGAGGGCCGGGCTGCAAACCACTGGCAAGGATGTGAGGAATGCGAGATTCCTTCATGGAGGGGTGGGAGGGGAAGAGGAGCGGAAAAGCATGAAAGGGAAGAGACAAGGCTGCCAAACACAAGGCACGGGAGAGAAGCCAAGCTATGGCGCTTCGAGGGCGGAGGTTCAGGTTCCGCCGGCCCCGGCGAAGCTCTGGCTGGCCCCGGAATGGTCCCGTCGTCCCCTCGGGGACCACCGCTGCCCATTTAAACAGCAAGTTGCTCCCCCGCCCTTCCGCCTCCTCCAGCCGGCCCGGGCCCCCTCCTGCAAGGTTCCCCAGCACATATCCACGCTGGCCTCTTCCAGGGATCCTTTCCCGACAACCCGACCTCCGGAGCCCCCTTCACACTCCGACTCTTCCCCAGCGCTGCGCCCTTCCTCCATTTCTCATTTTCCCGCCAGTCCCTTCTCCTGAACCCCAATATCTCCAACCCTCGCCCCAATACCCCCGGGACATCGCCCCCTCCCCTCCCACACCCTTTTCTAGGGGGAAGCCCGCGCAGGCGCAGTACGCACCGCCCTGGACGCGGTCTGGACTCGCCGTACCCAAGCCTGGCTGGAGCTGAGGCCGCACAGGCTACCGAACAGCCCTGGTGCCCAGCCCCAGCCTTTCCCCGGAGGGGGAAGGGGAAGGGGAAGGAGGGGGAAGAAGGTTCCGACCACTCGTCGCTGCCTCAGACGGATCCTTTGCCCTGCCCACCGCTGCTACGCAACCCGAGCGGAAGCTCGTCACCAAACCCCGCCTCCTTGTTTAACTGAGACGGGCACTGGAGGCCACGCGCGGCCAACGAGGTGGGACGCGGGCTAGCCGGGCTTCCGCTCCAGGCCGGAAGTCTTTGTGATCCCAGCCGGGACTGTATAGCCAGTTTGGAGGGGGAACTCTATGGTCTTCCTGGCGTGAGCGTCGGGGCTGAGGCCGAAGATTCCTACCTTGGGAGGCGACGCTTTGCCGTGGAGGGACGCACGTGACTTGTTCCCTGGAGCGGATGCGGAGGGGTGCCGTCCGGGCCGGCCCCTCTCGCGCTTCCAGAGCCGTGGTCAGCGCCGTGGAGCCTCCCGACCCTATGACTCAGAGTCATGGGAATGGATACTGCCGCGAACAAGGCGGCCGCGGGTGGGGAGCGGGGGCGGGTCCGGCCGCGAAGCTTTGATCTGGAGATGCTCAAGCGGTTGCCCGCCTCTCCGCCAGCCACACTCGTGCCATTTCCACTCTGGGACCCCTTGAAGCACCTAGGGGGAAGAAAACGCCCCCTCTGCCCGGGCTGTCGTTTGATCTCCTTAGGCCTCAGCACTACGAACGAGGGTGTGGGCACGAGGGACGTGAAGGGGAAGCCCAAAGCGCTCTCCGGGAAAGTAGATGAGTTGGGCCAGCCACGGCATTACAGTTACTCCACCTCTTAGGCTAATCTGGCACTCAAGTGGCATTTGCTATGGATATTCGCTAAGTAACTGGCAATGCGCACTTTGTCTTCATGCATTTGGCGTATACACTACAGTACAGGAACTATCTACCTTTTGTTGGCCATCTGGCAGGTCCCAAAGGAAACTAAAGGTTCTGAGCTTTTCCATCCTGGGGAGCATGGTGGGGCGGGCCGAGGAGGACTGACTCCGATCTAGTGAGGCGACTGCAGTTGGAACTAAGGGAGGGACTAATGCAAATGCTGTCTTTGCCCAGGGTTCCCTTTCTTACAAAGGGGGTAAGTCTGCCAGTTTCTGTCTCTGGAATGCCATCCCCCCCCCCAAAAAAAAGTCCCTGACCAAGGTGGGCAGTGAATTAAAGGTGAGGACCCCAAATCCAGAATAAAGAGGCTTAAAGCGGTGGGAGAGGAGGAGCCAACTGGTACTGCGTTTTATATTTGCTTTCTCATTTGTAAAATGGACTTGCATATGCAAAGATTGCTGGGACAGGGTTGTGCTGTAGAGGATTAAGCCGCTGCCTGCAATGCCAGCATTCTGTTGGGTGCTGGTTCATGTCTGGGCTGCTCCACTTTCCACCCAGTTCCCTGCTAATGTTGTTGGAAAAAACAGTGGAAGGTGGTCCAAGTGCCTGGGCACCTGCTCCCACTCATATGGGGAGACCCAGATGAAGCTCCTGGCTCCTGGCTTCAGCCTGGCCCAACTCCAACTGTTGCAGCCATTTTGGGGAGGGAACCAATGGATGGAAGATAGCCCCCCCTATCATTTTTTAAAAAAATTGCCACAGAAGGTGGGCATCATGGCACAGTGGGGTAAACCAACCTGGCATCTAAAAACAGAATGCTGATTGGAGACCCAGCTGCTCCTCTTCTGATCCAGCTCTCTGCTAATGTGCCTGGGGAAGACAGCCTTGGTGCTTGAGCCCCTGCTGCCCACATGGGAGACCCTGATGGAGTTCAAGGCTTTTGCTGAGACCACCTCAGCCATTTGACCATTTGTGGAGTGAACCAGTGGATGAAGTGCACTCTCTCTCTCCACTGCATCTCTCCTTTACCTTTCAAGGAAATAAACAGGAAAGGGGCCAGCATTGTGGCTTAGCGAGTTAAAGCCACCACCTACAATGCTGGCATCCCATGGATGTGCCAGTTTGACTCCCAGCTGCACCACTTCCCATCCAGCTCCTTGCCAATGGCCTGGGAAAAGCAATAGAAGATGGCCCAAGTGTTTAGGCCCCTGCCACCCACGTGGGAGTCCCCGGTGAAGCTCCCAGCTCCTGGCTTCGGGCTGTTGCAGCCATTTGGGGAGCAAACCAGGGGATAGATGATTTTCATCTCTCCCTCTTTCTCTGTAACTCTTTCAAATAAATACATCTTTAAAAAATAAATTTAGAAAGTTAAAAAAGAATTTTCCAGTAAAGAAATGAAGCACTGAGCCTGGATTCAGTCTGCCGGACTCCCAAGCCCTTGGTCCTTTTCCCACTGTATCAACCCTTGGAGAGAAAATTTTAAGAACCTAAAAGCGTCCCTCCAGCTAAGTAAAGGAAAACGAACATACGGCGCCCCCTGGTGGTCGATCTTTCCCCTTGCACAGGCAACCATATCTCTTGAGGCTCCTTTAACAGCTGAAGTCCACCCCCTTCTTAGCGCGAGAGCCTCGGATCGCGATTGGCTGGGCGGGAGACGGCGGCGGGACACGGGGTGCACCCTCGCTGTGCTGATTGGCCGGCCGGCGAGGTCCCGCCGTGGAAACTTCCGGGCGTGTCACCCTCCCGCGTTCCACCCGGCGGCATCCGGCGGCCGCGGGCCCTGTGGCTCCCCCTGCGGGCGGCTCAGCGGCGTTCGCAGTCGGGCCTGCTGGCTGGGTGGGTGGCGGGCAGTGGCTGGGGGAGGGAATGGGCCGAATCCCGGGGTGTCCGGATGAGGGTTCGGGAAGGGTCGGCGAGTGAAAGTCCATTCCCCGGCCGCTGCACGGGGTTCCCTCTCCCCGTCTCCGTCGGCTCCCCGGCTTCAGGGGTGGAGAGTGAAAGAGCATCCCGGCAGGGGGCCTTCCAGCTCTGCCGGACGCCTGAATTCTGATCCTGTAGTTGGCGGGATCCCCACCCCGAGGAAGTCTGATTCTAACCTTTTTGGAAGGCTTGCAGAGGTAGAGGCTGCCTAGGGTGATAGGTAGGCCCTGGGAAGTGGAGCATGGGTGCCAGGGCTCCGAGCGCGGAGCCTTCATCCCCTGTTCCCCCTTGCAGTGGGGGTGCCGAGGCTCGGGCAGCATGACGACGGAGACCTTCGTGAAGGATATAAAGCCCGGACTCAAGAATCTGAACCTCATCTTCATTGTGCTGGAGACAGGTGGCTTTGTGGGCGCCGCGGGGTCCACGGAGGGCGTGGGGGAGGGGAGCCCCCGCCGCCTGTGTTCCTAACTCGCTCCCGAGACACCAGGCTCTGCCCGTCTCTCCCTTGGACCTCGGCACAGAGCTGCAGTCGGGCATAGGATAGGTAGCACCCTCGCCAGGTCCATTTCCACTCAGAGCCCTCTCCATGGTGCTGGCCCCCTTCCCTCCCAGCCCTCTCAGCCCCTCCTGCCATAGGGACTTGGGGGCTTCTGTTCGTACCTCTTGTCCCTCACCCCACAGATATGCCGATCCCGTCTCTGGTACCTCCACCACCCTCACCTGTATGACCGTCTTCCCACACCCCCGGTTATTTGCTCCCCTCAGGCCGAGTGACCAAGACGAAGGACGGGCACGAGGTTCGGACCTGCAAGGTGGCAGACAAAACGGGCAGCATCAACATCTCTGTGTGGGACGACGTGGGTAACCTGATCCAGCCCGGGGACATTATCCGACTCACCAAGGGGTAGGAGGACCGTTAACGCCGGGCTACACAGGGGCAGCTGTGGCCGAGGGGAGTGGGGCCGACAGCCCCTGTAGCCCTCTGAGTCCCCCTCGGTTCCTGCTGGTTTTGCCCCCACAGGTACGCGTCAGTGTTCAAAGGTTGTTTGACGCTGTACACGGGCCGTGGGGGTGACCTGCAGAAGATTGGAGAGTAAGTGCTTGTCTTGGAGACTGGGAGGAAGGAATGCCAGCCCAGGGGGGACAGTTAGGGCTTGCGAGGGAGCAGCATATGGGGGCACGGTCCGCAGCCTGTACCTGGACGTCTCTGAGGCCTTGGGCAGCGGTCCCGAGGCTAGATCGGAACCGTCAGCTGCGTTCTCACCTTGCAGATTCTGTATGGTTTATTCTGAGGTTCCGAACTTCAGCGAGCCAAACCCAGAGTACAGCACCCAGCAGGCACCCAACAAGGCAGTGAGTGCCGTGGCCGAGATGCCGGGGAAGAAGGGTGGGTGAGGCCAGTGGGGGGGAGGCCAGAGTCTGAGGATGTGGTGTGTGCCTGCAGGTGCAGAATGACAGTAGCCCCACAGCTCCCCAGCCTGCCGGCGGACCCCCTGCCTCTTCCCCAGGTAACTCTGTTCCCCTCCATCTGCTTGTCCCCCCAGCTTCCTGGCAGCACCCCCCGCTCCGTCTGAAAATATGCATTTTCCTTATCTCCTTTCCAAATCTCTTCTGTCAATATATTCATTATAAATCCCCCAATTTCTGGTACCTTTTGCAAGCCCCTATGGGATGCCTGCATCAGCTGTCAGAGTGCCTGGGTCAAGCCCCACCCACTCTGCTTCTGATCCAGCTCCCACTGACGCACCCGGGAGGAAACAGGTGATGGTTCAGTTACCTGAGTCTCTGCCACTCAGAGGTGGGAGGCTGAGGTGCCGTTCCAGGCTCCCAGCTCCAGCCTGGCCCAGCCCTAGCTCCTGTGGGCATTTGGGGAGTGAACCAATGGATGGAAGAGCTCCCTGTCTCTGTGCTTCTCTCTGTATGTCTGCCTCTTAAATAACTAAGCAAACACAAATCAGAAAAGAAGGTAAGTTGGGGCAGGCCTGTGGCACAGCTGTTAAGATGCCACTTGGGGGGCCGGCGTTGAGGCATGCCAGGTTATGATACTGCCTGCGATGTCAGCATCCCATATGAGTGCTGGTTCAAGTCCCGGCTGCTCGACTTCAGATCCAGCTTGCTGCTAAAGTGCCTGGAGAAAGCAGGAGAGGGTGGCCAGAGTGCTTGGGCCCCTGCCATCCATGCGGGAGCCTCAGATGGAGTTTCTGGCTCCTGCTTTCAGCCTGGCGCAGGCCATAGCAGCCATCTGGGGAGTGAACCAGTGGATGGAGGATCTTTCTCTCTCTCCCTCTTTGTCTCTAACAGTTAATGCTTTAGGATATTGTCTATTGCTGATAGAATTGCTGTAGTGCCCTTGCTTAAAGACAAGAGTTTCAAACTTACTGTTGAAATAAACCCATCTGTCCATTAAATAAATAAATTAAAAAAAAAAACAAAAAACAAACCAAGGATGCCAGTTGGGATGCTCATGTCCCACAATGGAGTGCCTGGGTGAGAGTCCCAGCTCCAGTTCTCTTTTGGGGGTACAGTTAGAGAGGGAGAGGGTGATTGAGCCTCAGACCAACTCAAACCTGCACTCATGGGATCCTGGCATCACAGGCAGTGGGCCCCTGCAGCTCCACTTCTGATTCCAGCTCCCTCCTAACCTATGTACCCTGGGGGCTAGTGTTGTTAAGCTGCCGCCTGCAGCAGCAACGTCCCGTATCTGAGTGGCCAGCGCAAGTCTTGGCTGCTGTGATTCCCATCCAGCTCCCTGCTAACGTGCCTGTGTGTGGGCCCTGCCACCCATGTGGGAGACCTGGATGAAGCTCCTGGGTCCTGGCTTCGGCCTGGTCCAACCCTGGCTATTACAGCCGTTTGGGGAGTGAACCAACAAATAGGAGACCTTTCTCTTCTCTCTCTCTCTCCTGCTCTCTATCACTCTTTCAAATAAATCTAAAAAAAAAAAAAAAGTGCACCCTGTGTGGAAATAGGTGAAGGCCCAGGTACTTGGGTCCCTGCCACCCACATGGGAGACTTGGACTGAGTTTTGAGTTCCGGGCTCCTTGCTTCAGTTTGGCCCAGCCGTGGCCATTGTAGACATTTGTGGAGTGAACCAGTATGTGGAAGATCTCTGTCTGCCTCTCTGCCTTTCAAAATTCTTAAATAATTAATTAATTACAAATCCTTGAAAAAAATGTTGAGATACATGCATGTAAGAGGTCGTTAATTTCATGGGAGGTGCATATTATGAAAAGACTGTGCATGGATTTCCAAACTTTCTTGTGCCAAAATAAACTTATCTTAATTCCGTTTCCCACAAACTGCGACGACGTCTGGTATAGATTTAAATATCTTATTATAGTGTGCACTTAAATATATAGTGATGCATCACTTGATGGCAGCATATTCTGAGGCATGTGTCATCAGGTGAGATTTTTGTTGTGGGAGCAGACAGCTAGAGATAGACAGCTCCCCAAATGCCTGCAGAGGCTGGGAATGAGCCAGGGAAAAGCTGGGAGCAAGGAACTCAATCCAGGTTTCCCACCTGGGTGGAAGGCACCCAACTACTTGAGCCATCACTGCTGCCTCCCAGGGTCTGCGTTAACAGGAAGCTGGGATCAGAAGCAGAGCTGGGCTGGCGCCACGGCTCAATAGGCTAATCCTCCACCTTGCGGCGCCAGCACATCGGGTTCTAGTCCTGGTCGGGGTGCCGGATTCTGTCCCGGTTGCCCCTCTTCCAGGCCAGCTCTCTGCTGTGGCCTGGGAGTGCAGTGGAGGATGGCCCAAGTGCTTGGGCCCTGCACCCCATGGGAGACCAGGAGAAGCACCTGGCTCCTGCCATCGGATTAGCGTAGTGCGCAGCCGCAGCGGCCATTGTGGGGTGAACCAACAGAAAAGGAAGACCTTTCTCTCTGTCTCTCTCTCTCACTGTCCACTCTGCCTGTCAAAAAAAAAAAAAAAAAGGTAGAGCTGAGACTCAAACCCAGCTACTCTGATGTGGGGTGTGGGATGTGGGTGTCTTACCTGGCACACCAGCCCAAGCTCCTCTCCTAAAACATTTTTAAACTGGTTTTTAAAATTGTTTAATTTTTTTTTTTTTTTTTTTGGAAACGTAAACACACACATCGGCCTAGGCTGCACGGGGTCAGGGCATCACTGTCACTGCCTTGCACCTCCACATCCTGTCCCATTGGAGGTCCTTGGTGACCGTGCACATATGGAGCTGTCACCTCCTGTGACAGCAATGCCGCCTTCTTCTTCTTCTTTTTTTTTTTTTAATTTATTTGAAAGGCAGAGTTCCAGAGAGAGGTAGAGACAGAGACAGAAACAGAGAGAGAGAGAGAGGTCTTCCATCCACTGGTTCACTCTCCAAATGACCACAACAGCTGGAGCTGAGCTGAACCAAAGCCAAGAGCTTCTTCCACATCTCCCACGTACATGCAGGGTCTCAAGCACTTGGGCCATCTTCTGCTGCTCTCCTAGGTGCATTAGCAGCGAGCTGGATCAGAAGTGGAGCAGCCGGGCCTTGAACTGGTGCCCAAATGGGATGCTGGTGCTGCAGGCAGGGCTTTAACCCACTGTGCCACAGTGCCGGCCCCAGCACTGCCTTCTTGACACTTCCTGAAGGACCTGCCTGAGGCTGGTGTCCAGTTAACTTGTTTTTATATGTAGGAATACACTCTAATGCTAAAATGTGTAGTGTAGGAAATGCATAAATGTAACATGGTTGCTTATTATATCAAATAATATGTCTTAGATATAACTGTACTGTGTTGCCACTCATTTATATATATAGATGCATATGTAGAGTGTTTTCGTTTTCTGGGGCATCACTATAAGCACATCAGTAATGCATTGTGCTATGATGTTACCATGGCTACATTATCACTAGGCAATAGAAATTTATCAGCTCCATTATAATCTTAAGGGACCACCATTATATATGTGGTCTGTTGTTGGCCAAAATGTCAACAGGCAGCAACGGACTGTATGGATTTCTTACTGGTTCTGGCTTTCTGAGAACCCAGGGTGATAAAACAAAATAACAATGTTTAATTCCACTACAAAAATTCACTTTTGCCTGCAACACCAGCATCCCATATGGGGGCCAGTTCGAGTCCTGGCTGTTCCACAATTTTTTTTAAAGATTTATTTATTTGAATGGCAGAATTAGAGAGAGGCAGAGGCAGACAGAGTGGTCTTCCATCGGCTGGTTCCCAAATGGCCACAACTGCTGGAGCTGGGCCAATCCAAAGCCAGGAGCCAGGAGCTTCTTCTGGTTCTCCCACCTGGGTGTAGGGGCCCGAGCACTTATGCCATCTTCTGCTGCTTTCCCAGGGGCATTAGCAGGGAGCTGGATTGGAAGTGGAGCAGCCAGGACTGGAACTGGTGCCCACTGGGATGCCAGTGCTGCAGATGGTGGCTTTACCCACTATGCCACAATGTGGGCCCCTGCTTCTCCACCTTTAAAATAACTTTTGGTAAAAGAGATTAAAAAAAAAAGAGATTTTCTTTTTTTTTTCTTTTTTTTTTTTTTGACAGGCAGAGTGGACAGTGAGAGAGAGAGACAGAGAGAAAGGTCTTCCTTTGCCGTTGGTTCACCCTCCAATGGCCGCCGCGGCCGGCACGCTGCGGCCGGCGCACCGCGCTGATCCGATGGCAGGAGCCAGGAGCCAGGTGCTTTTCCTGGTCTCCCATGGGGTGCAGGGCCCAAGCACCTGGGCCATCCTCCACTGCACTCCCTGGCCACAGCAGAGAGCTGGCCTGGAAAAGGGGCAACCGGGACAGAATCCGGCGCCCCGATCGGGACTAGAACCCGGTGTGCCGGCGCCGCTAGGCGGAGGATTAGCCTAGTGAGCCGCGGCGCCGGCCCATTTTATTTATTTGAAAAGAGGAGAAAGAGGGATCTTCCAAATGGCTTCCCAAATGGCTCATTCCCCAAATGGTTCACTCCCCAAATGGCTGCAACAGCCAGGGCTGTGCCACACCGGAGCCAGGAGCTCTTTCCAAGTCTCCCACATGGGTACGAGGACCCAAGCACTTGGGCCATCTTCTACTGCCCTCCCAGGCATATTAGCAGGGAGCTGGATCGGAAGTGGAACAGCCGGGACTTGAACCTGCACCCATATGGATGCTGTCATTGCAGGTGCAGCTGTAACCACTACACCACAGTGCTGGTCCTATAAAGGGGAATTTTAAAAAAAATGTATTTATCTTGGGGCCAGTGCTGTGGCGCAGCAGGTTAAAGCCCTGGTCTGAAGTGCTGGCATCCCGTATGGGTGCCGGTTCTAGTCCTGGCTGCTCCTCTTCTTCAGCTCTCTGCTATGGCCTGAGAAAGCAGTGGAAGATGGCCCAAGTCCTTGGGCCTCTGCACCCACATGGGAGACCCAGAAGAAGCTCCTGGTTTTGGATCAGCACAGCTCCAGCCATTGTGGCCAATCGGGGAGTGAACCAGCGGATGGAAGACCTCTCTGTCTCTACCTCTCTGTGTAATTCTTTCAAATAAATAAAATAAATCCTTTATATATATATGTATGTATGTGTATATATTTATATATATATATATATATATATATTCATTTGAAAGGCAGAGTGACAGACATGGAGAGAAAAAGATCTTCCATCTGCTGGTTCACTGCATTGGCCAGTACTGGACCAGGCCTGAGCCAGGAGCCAGGAACTCCATTCAGCTTTCCCACATGGGTGGCATGGATTCAAGTACTTAAGCCATCTGCTGGTGCTTCCCAGGCACATTAGCAAAAAGTAGATCAGGAAGTGGAGCAGCCAGGACTCGAACCAGTGCCCAGATGTGGGATGGTGGTGTCACAAGCAGCGGCTTAACCCACAAACCACAACGCCCGCCGTAAAGGGGCATTTTGTCAAATGTCCTTGAACCTAGAACTAAACAGCTCATTCTAAGTCTGATTCCCAAGATGGATAAGAGAAAAAATATACCATGGTTCATGGAGTTACTTCCAAAAGGATTCTCTGAGTTTTCTCTGGGGCTCCATTCATACTCGCCACCCGCATTCCTGGGCACTTAGCACAGCTGGCATGAGCGTGCAGTCATGCATGGGGAAGACTGTCCTGCTCTGGCGGGGCGCGGAGCTCACTCACCCCTGAACTCTAATGCCTATGTTTCTTCTCCTCCCAACACTAGCCTCTGAGAACCAGAACGGCAATGGACTGAGTGCCCCCTCAGGTCCCAGTGGTGGGCCGCACCCCCCTCACACTCCGTCCCACCCCCCCAGCACCCGAATCACCCGAAGCCAGCCCAATCACACACCTGCCGGCACTCCCGGCCCCTCCAGCAACCCCGTCAGTAATGGCAAAGAAACCCGGAGGAGCAGCAAGAGATAGCAAGACACTCTTCCCTTCCTGCCACCCACCGTGATCCCAGCATCTGCAGCAGAACCAGAGAGCCGTCCCCTGGGCTGCTGGCCTTGGCATGGGCGGGGTGTTTCAGCCACTGAATGTCACTGCAGGGCTGGTGAGCAGTGGCCGTAACCACCTGAAGCCCTAATGTCCCCTGTCTGCTGGGGTGCAGGCCCTCCCTGCGTGGAACCCACAATCAGTCTGTTTCTGGTGTCACTGTCCCAGGGGTGCTCACTGAAACCCCTCTGACCTAATAAAGGCCACCACGCTATACTGCACTCCTTTGCCTTCTGTGGGAAAAGGAACTGATTAGCAGCTGGGCATTCAGGAACACAGGGTTTCCCTTGGAGGCGGAGGGGAGCTGGGTTACAGGCAAGGAGCCACAAGGTGAATCAGGCCTGCCCCTTTAAGGCACTGTCCCTCCCCTGCCCCCTCCCTGCAGGTGACCCTTGCCCGCCCGCCCCGCCTGCACTGGAAGGCTGGGTCCCCCTTGCTCTGGGCGTGCCTGCTGCCTCCCGCTGCCAGGTAATGCCAACCTCGACCCCCTCGTCCCAATCAGACTTTGCTCCACGTCAGACATCTGAGGGGAGCCCACATACGCAGCTCCTCTCCCCACAGGGCCTCCCTTTTCTGGGTCATGAATTTCCAGAGCACTGGCTCCTCCTTTTGCTGGGCTGGGGAACTTCGTGTCTCTTCCCCCTCTCCGGAGCTTAGGGACACCTGGGCCCAGCTTCCCCAGGGAATTCAGGGATGGGGTTGGAGAGGAAGTCCAGTGCCAGATGCAAGGTAGGTAGGGTAGGAATCTGCATGTATGCAGGAAAAGACTAATCTGGTGCTAACTGGCATGGAGGCGGGGTGAAAATTACGGGGACAAAAACCTCATTGGGCCCAGGGTCTTAGCCATGTGGCTTTCCCAGAGGCAGAGGGCAGCGCCCCCCTCACGCTCAGGGGCCCAGCGGACTGGCCTTTGACCCCCACCCCAGAGACCAGTGAACCATTAACTCCTTTCCACTTGAACCTTCCCACACTGGCTCCACCCAGCCTCACCCAAAGGCAGGTGGGCTAGGAAGAGGGGCCGCGTCCATCTCTGCATGACGTGGCCTCTGCTCCGCCTGGACATCTGGGCACAAGGAGGCTGAGCCTGGGTTCCCCCTCCTTCACGCCGGAACCTCTTAATATCCACAGCAAGGCCGACGTCACTACTCTCCCGGTGCGAGTGGGGTGAGACTCTGGGCATTGGAGATCTGAAGGGCGTGCTTGTGGGAACGGGGAGAGCTGTGGAGGAGCTGGCAGTGGAGAGGGAAGAAGGCAAGGGTGGGGGCAGGTGCAAGGAGTGACGTCCCCCAGCGTCACCCCCTGGCCCCCTTGTTTTTCTAGGGCACAGTCCTCAGGATGTTCCGGGGGGAATAGACGCTGGAACCGGAGCCTGCAGCCCATCCCCCTCAGTGATGGGGCCCCCTGGGAGTCACCTGCTGGCTGCTCTGTGTGTGGGGGTGGTCTCAGGCTGGGTAGGGGGCTCAGTCCCCAACCTGGGTCCTGCGGAGCAGGAGCAGAACCATTACCTCACCCAGCTGTTTGGCCTCTATGGAGAGAATGGGACGCTGACCGCAGGGGGCCTAGGACGCCTTCTCCACAGCCTGGGGCTAGGCCGAGTTCAGGGGCTTCGCCTGGGACACCATGGGCCTCCCGGCCGGGTGGCACCCCCAGCTGGAGACAATTCCACACACAGGTATTGACCCCCGCCTCCAAATGCCACAGCCCCCAACTTGGCAGGGCTTAGCCCAGTCTCCAACTGTCCAGTCCTGGCTGCCTGAGAGCCTTGGAGTTACACATTCTCCAGAACCCATCTCCTCTGTGTCCCTCATGACCCCTCTTGCCGCCTTCTAATTGTCTTCTTCCAAGCCCCTGGCCCTTTAAATTCTTCACCCTTAGTCCCAAGGCTCCATGTCTCCCAGCTGAGCTGGCTCCAAGGCTCCATGTCTCCCAGCTGAGCTGGCTCCCGGTTTTCAGCATTTTTAGCTGTCCGCCGTTTGTTTTCTCGCACTCCTACAACCCTCCCATAAATGAACAATTCTCAGACCTCCTGGGGAGCCTGTTCTGGGGGGTTCCTGAGAGCACATGGATGAGTCTGACTGCTATCCCATCATCCCTTCCAGGTCGCAGGAGCCCGAGCTGAGTGTGGACGTCTGGGCAGGGATGCCCCTGGGTCCCTCAGGGTGGGGTGACCCAAAGGAGTCCAAGGACCCCCACCTGGTCCCAGGAGCAGCCCCCTCGGGCCTGGACCTCTTTCACAGGCTTCTGATGCTAGACCACTCGCTGGCTGACCATCTGAATGAGGATGTGAGTCGAGATTTCTAGAGAAAGGAAGGAGCTGTGGGATTAGATGGCCTAAAATATTTAAAGAGTCAGCAACAGTATAGTTATTTAAAAAACAAACAACCAAAAGCCAATCCCAGCATAGTCTTGGGGTATGTCATTCTAGAAGTGAAATAGGTTCCTCCTGCACTCAGAGCAGGTGCACCCACCCCCAGGGCTCCAAGACCCAGTTTAGAGACCACACTTGGCAAAACAGAGGATCCAGAGAGCAGCCCAGGGTAGGACGCAGGGATGGTTGCCTGGAGAGACCTGTGGGGAGTGGATGGCCGTCTTCATACAGAAAGATAGCAAACTTGCTCCACACACATCAAAGAGCAGACAAGGCTGCCAGGCCCTGAACACATGAACACGTGACGGGGCTAGGAGGGCTCTAGTGGCCCCGCAAGCTCCATCACCACATCAGTGAAATGATCACGGTCCCCACAGTGGAAGGACAGGCTTTAAATATCTGCGTCATGTTCCAAGGATTCCCAGTGCGTGACCCTCTGCTCAACCCCCTCAGTGTCTGAATGGCTCCCAGCTGCTGGTCAATTTTGGTCTGAGCCCCGCTGCTCCTCTGACTCCTCATCAGTTTGCTCTGCTGTGCCCAGCTCTGCTTTATCAGATTGACAGCCGCGTCTGCACCCAAGCCCCAGCCCCAACACCCTCGGCGGATCTACTGTCTGGTCAGTGGGTGAGAGTGGGTGGGCAGCACCCTGAGTCTTGGGGAAGAATGGGCCCCACTGGGGTCCCCATCTCCTCACAGCACACCCCTGCCCTAGCTTGCCTCTGGGCCTCTCCCTGCAGCCCTGGCCTAACCCAGGCCCTGGCTCTCCCAGCCCTGCTTCACAGTGGCCTGGCAGTCCTGCTGCTCAGCCTCCCTGCTCCCCTCTCCCTGCTGCTGCTGCGGCTCCTGGGACCTCGTCTGTTGCGGCCCCTGCTCGGCTTCCTGGGGGCCCTGGCCGTGGGCACTCTTTGTGGGGATGCACTGCTACACCTGCTGCCACATGTACGTGAGGACCCTTCCTGTACCCCTGCCTCCAGTGGCAGCTGGCCATGGATCCGAGGGATTCCCAGCCACAGGACGGGGCCCCTCCCCCCGTCACTCCCACATCCCCCCTCACCAGCCCTTGGCTTTGACCCTCAGCTGCCTTGGGGCAGGGTGGAAGTGATGGCCTGCCACCTCCCATGTGGAAGGGGTGTCTGTGTGTGTGGCCGGCGCAGGGGCTTCCAGGGGCTTCTCTGACCTCCGTCAGGCACGAGGAGGGTGGCACACAGGAGCTGGTGGGCGCCCAGAGGAGGACCTGGGTCCAGGGCTGTCAGTGCTGGGAGGCCTGCTCCTGCTCTTCGTGCTGGAGAACATGCTAGGGATTTTGCGGCACCGAGGACTCAAGACAGTGAGTGACACCCTTTTCTCCTCTTCCTGCAGAGACCAGAGTCCTAGCTAAGAACTGACCAAACAAGCCAGGAGGCGAGGGTCAGTGTGTGCTCTTGGTCCTCTGATGTGTGTGTGACTGTGCAGCAACCAACAGGGTGGGTAGGGGCTCCTTTGTATAGAGTCAGGACTTCTGGCCAAATGGCCTCCTCTCCCAAGTTCAAGTCAACAAGACACAGGCAGATCCCAACCTGAGAAGAGGGCAGAGATCAAAGAACATCCCCAGGTGCCAGAGGTGGGACAACCAGGTGTTCGTTCACCCAGCTGGTGGCTGGGTCCCCCCTGTGTGCCCGGCTCTGCTGCTTCCTCCACCAGGAGGGTTACCTCCTGTTTCAGAGATGCTGCAGGCCAAGGCGGAGGGATGTCAGAGCACCACACCTGGACCCAGAAGATGGCTGTGGGAGGGCCCTTCAGCCCCTACAGGCAGCTCCAGGTAACTCCAGGAAGAAATGCAGGGTGCCCTCCAGCTCCCGGTCCTCACAGACAGCCACCAACACCTGTCCTCATCCTTCTCCCTGCAGAGCCAGGGGCTCAGGGCCAGAGGGAGCGGGACAGCCAGCCCTCAGCAGCCCCGGCCCCCATCGGGCACCAAGGCCACAGCCACGGGTGCCAGGGTGGCAGTGGCGCCAGTATCACGTGGATGGTCCTCCTGGGAGATGGTCTGCACAACCTCACTGACGGGCTGGCCATAGGTGTGAGGGGAGGGAGTGGCGGGAGGCAGGGCCCAGGGGAGGCCAGGGCTCCTGGTTGTCGGCTGGAGCCAAGAAAAGGCTGCCAGGAAGAGCAGGACGAGAGGACCAGAGTGGGAATGCAGACACCCCTTCTGACCTGATGACCTCCGATCCCGCCAATCCCAGGGGCTGCCTTCTCTGATGGCTTCTCCAGTGGCCTCAGCACCACCCTCGCAGTCTTCTGCCATGAGTTGCCCCACGAACTTGGTAGGAATGCACAAGTGGGGTGGAAGGAGAGACCCCCCCAAGGGGGAGAGGGGCAGCGCTGGCTGGCTCATTCCCTCGCACGCTGTCCTCTTTCTCCTGCAGGTGACTTTGCAATGCTGCTCCGGGCAGGGCTGTCTTTTCGGCGGCTGCTGCTGCTGAGCCTCGTTTCTGGAGCCCTAGGACTAGGGGGTGCAGCCCTGGGGGTGGGGCTCAGCTTGGGCCCTGTCCCCCTCACTCCCTGGGTGTTTGGGGTCACTGCCGGGGTCTTCCTCTATGTGGCACTCGTGGACATGGTGAGAGGTGTGGGGTAGGGCAGAGAAACCAAGGGAAGTGGGGAGGGGGCGGAGTGGAAGATGGGGAATCATCAGTCCCCCACCTCAACTGAGCACAGGGTCCTAGCAGGGTGTGGACCACAAGCCCCTAAGAGAAACAAGGGCCTGAAGTGTTGGGGTGGGGGGCTGCTGCCCCTCTTCTCATGCTGAGAGGCCAAAGGCAAGGTCAGCAGTCTGACTTAGTCTTCTTTCCTTCCAGCTCCCGGTCCTGCTGCGCCCTCCCGAGCCCCTTCCTACACACCACGTGCTCCTGCAGGGGCTGGGGCTGCTGCTGGGGGGCAGCCTCATGCTCACCATAGCCTTGCTGGAGGAGCAGCTATTGCCCCTGGTCTCTGGTGACTGACGGGGGGGATGGGTGGGGGGCCAGTGGGAAGGGGTCCAGGCTGCCCCTCCTTCCCCCCAGCCACAGGAATGGAGGCGGGACACAGGGCCAGTAGGAGCAACAGGATTTTAATAAACAGAACCCATCCCAAAGCCATGACTACGACAGTTGTACTTGCACCAAAACAGCATAGAAAACCAGGTTGTGGTGGGAGGGCTTGAAGCAGGTTAGGGGAGGACATGAGCAGGGGCCTGGAGGGTGCAGGGTACATCAGTCTGCGGGAGAGCATTGTGCTTTAGCCCAGGGAGGAGGGGGAGAGGAGGGGCGAATGCACCGAGGTCCCCACTTGTTCCTGCTGTCCTCAGCACCCTGGGGCTGCAGGCATCTGGGCAGATCTGCCCTTTATTGCTGCCCACCAGCATTCAACACCCCCGACCCCAGCACTAGCACCACAGGTGGATCCGGGGCAGGGATAAGGGCAGGAGTGGGAACAACATTGCTTAGAAAGATTCAACTAGAACCAGTGACTTGTGCTCAGTTCTCTTTACTTCCTACAACCGAGTACATGGGTCACAGGTGGAGGGTGCGGCAGGACACGAGCGTGCCCCTCTGTGCCCCCAGCACACACCTGCACACAGGACGGTGGTGTCTGCAGCATCACAGGTCATGCAGGGCGTGGGGAAGGGGAGGTTCACACACACATAGATGCCCACAGCGGGTACCAGACAGAGAACACCCCTGAATATACACAGCTGTACATGGGGACCCCCCCAGGTCCCCCCCAACCCTCTCCCCTGTCTTGCCATCCCCTAGGCAGGGGAACTGTATTGCTTTGAGAGAGCCACCCTGGGGGCTGCTCTGCCAGGCACCCCCTTCCCATCCCCCCCAATTTTGGCACATCTGCAAGACACACGGCAGCGAGAGTAGGCACCTCCCCGCCAGGCTTCTGGAGCTTGGAGCTGGGGAAGGGGGCAGGAGACTTCATCCTCCATCTTTCCTTTAGCCCTTCCCGAACCCCTGCCAAACCCACTCCAGCTGGAACCCACCCCACCCCCTAACACACACATACAAAGCTGAGTTATCCAAGAATACGAAGGGAACAAGGAGATTGTCCGGGATGGGAGCGGAGGTGGGGGGAGGGGGGACTGGAAGCAGAGGACCCCCCCCTCCGGCATGGGGGTAAGACTGGCACAACAGCTACTTTAGTGCAATTGGAGAGGGTGCCCAGAGTGAGGGATGGAGATGGGAGGGAAGGCTCTCCCCAACTTCCCTGGGGGCAAACTCAGGCTTCTGGGTTCCCCAGGGAAAGGGCCAGGGGCAGATCCTATGTCACCCGCCACCATCTGCCCTCCCAAATGCAGTGACAGTGTCCCCCTCACACCTAAGTGGGCAACAGCAGCCTCGGAGTCAGTACCTTCAAGTAATTCAGAGAGCAGACCTCCCCACCCCGGCTTCCTCCCGTCTCTGCATTTGGTCGCTACTCTAGGGGTTGGGTCGGGAGGAGGGAGTCCCCACGTCAGAGCCTTTCCTCTCCACCTCCCTCTTCCCAGACCATGGGGCTTGGTCCTCAAAGATTCCTTACCTCTGCCCCTGCCCAACTTAGGGCAAGGCCAAGGAGGGCAGGAGCCACCACGATTAGAGGGGAAGGGGCTGCTTTGCTCCTGGCCCTCCTTAAAAGGTAGGGTTTCAAGCTAGGTGGGATGGGGCCGCACTGGCTGGCCCCAGGAGTAGGGTTTCCGGGCTAGGGTCTGTAAGGCTATTTTCCTTTGCGGTTGGAAGGGGAGGTGGGGATGAACACTGGGCGTAGGGAGGGGGTGAGAAGTGGCTGAGGGGAAGGAGGAAGAGGCCCCTCCGCTGGAGTCCAGTCACTGGAGCCATTAGGACGAAGAAACACTCAGTGCATAAGATACAGAGTGTGCCCACTCCAAGTCCTGCCAGCCTGGCCCCAAGCCCATCTCTCCAGGCCCCGGAGGAGGTTTGGGGATTACAGCTGTAGAACCGTTCACTCTGGCCTCGCCCACCCTACCCCCAGCCTCTTCTCCCCTTCCAGTCCAGGGAGCAGGAAGGTGCTCAGTGGGCAGTGGGCGGGTGACAGCGGTGGAAACAGTATTGAGTTTTCCTTTGGTTACATATTGAAGGCAAAGGTGAGCTGGACTTACAGTCAAGACGGACAGGGGTGAGGAAGGAAGAGGGGCATGGCTGGGGCTGGAGAGGGAGGGAGACCCCCCTCAGCCCCTCCACCCCGGGGAACACAAGTCTAGTGGGGTCGTGGGGTGGCAGTCCCTCTATCAACTCTCCCACCCCCCACAGCACCAAACAAAGGAGAAGCCCCCCCACCCCAGCTGTACCCCCCCCTCCCCGCCCCTGGGCTGTACATTCAGTGGTTTTCAGCAGTCCTATGGCTCAGCGGGCCACGGGCGGGGGAGGTGGCCCATCAGTCTCAGCTGGACAGTGGCAGTGACCTGGGTCTGTTGGTCCATCCCAGGACCCACAGTTTGTGCCTTTTTGTTTTTCTGAAGGATAGAACACAACCCTAGCAAAGCCACCGCCCATGCAGAGACATCCCCCCAAAAGTCAGAAACTAAAAACTGGCTCTTTTTGTCTCGCCCTCTGATTCACACCTCTGTTTCCCTGTCTCCTATGTAGCCCTCGCTCTGTCTCCTTTGCAGGGACCTGGGGCTGCTCCCAGGCTCCTCACTCAAAACAGGCCTTTCCACAAAAGTGCTTATTCCTTGAAGCAAGTGCTTTAGAGCTGCGGGGGGAGGGGCAGAGGGAGGCTGAAGTAGGGAGAGGCTCCCTCCCCACCCTCCCCCTGCAGATTGGGGGGCATTCTGCCTGTTTTACTTCTCCACACCCATTTAAGTCAGAGATTAAAAAAAATCGTAACATTAAAATAAATATGCAGTGGCCATGAGAATGGTCAAAATGCTTCAAAAGACACTAGGGGCTGAGGAGCCCGGGGGTGGGGTGGGGTGGGATTTCCTTTGGCATATGGAGAGGAGGCCACTCGCCCCCAGGCCCCCTCACGGTCACATGACAAGGGCCCAGGGACGCCCCACAGCCTCCCCAAGCACTGCCGACAGAGTGCCAAGGAGGCGGCAGGGAGCAGAGAGCTCCCCGAAATCTCACCTAGCAAACAAGGGGGCTCCTGACAAGCACTCCGATTTTTCCTGTCATCGCCAAGCAGTGACAAAGGAGAACACGACTGACACCCGGGAGTCTTGGCCCGGAAGAGGACCCTTCTCCCACTCCCCTTCCTCCCACCCCCGCCCCCCACCTAGTTCCCAGCACCAAGATGAGAGGGGGGTGGAATGGGAAGATCCGAGGAGAGAGAATTGAAGTTGGGGGGACAAGCTTTGCAGAACCAGCAGGGTGGGGGTGGGGGCTGCAGCCCTTAAGAGAGGTCACATTGATTGTCGTAGAGGGGGGGACAGGGTGTGAGTGGGGGGTGGGCAAGAGGGGGCATCGCAAGGCCCTTTGGCTTTGAAAACAAAACTGAAAACTAAAAGCTGCACAATCCTTCTCACCAATAATGGTCATTTGGAAGCCTTGAAATGGTTTAGGAACGGAGGGTTGGGAAGCAAGACAGAGAGACAGGGATGAAAAGGGGCCATGAGTGAATAAGGACCCAGACAGACACCCCAGGCTTCGGCAACCAGCATGAGGTATGGTTGAGGGCGTCTGCTGGGGAGCGGGGGAGTCCTGGGGATGCCCGTCCCGCCCCCAGCCCACCCCTGGCAAGGGTGGCAAGACATTCAGGGGACACAAGTGGAAAATGGCTAAGATCGTAAATAAAGCGAGTTGGAGTTGGGGAGGGAGGCCGCGGGGAGCCCCGCGCTGTGTAAACGAAGCCTGTCCAGTTCTCTGGGCGGGGGGTGGGTGGGGTGGGCAATACTGACAACAGCCAAACCGGGCGAAGACGCACTGTGGGCGGGGCATGACCTCGATTCAAGTTCTGGGTCTTGGTCCCTGGCTGAGGTATTGAGTGTGAGGAAGGGAACACTGGGCGACAGGAGCAGGTCCAACTGTCCAGGCGGCTTGACTAGGAGATGGATGGACAGGGCATCCGAAGGGACCAGGGCCAAATTCAATGCTACATTTAGAGAGAAAACTGCCCCCTCCTCATTCCAGCCCAGTTTGGCTTTGGGGATGCAACTTTTAGGAATCTTATCAGTGCAGCCCCGAGCTCAACCCCTTCTCTCCCAGCTGCTGGGAAGGCAGGGACCAAGCCTCAGTGTCTGTTCGCTGCTCCCCAGGTCAGTGCTGCATCCTCACCCCAGAGGAAGAGCCTGGGTCCCGAGCAGCCACGTCCCTGGTCTGCCCTGCCCCTCCCACCATCTTTGGCTTCAGATCAGGAGTGACTGGGGGCGGTGGGGACTCTCGGACATAACGGAAGGTGGAGGCAAACAGGGGGGTTGGAGGAACTATGGGATGGGGGCACAGGAGGAAGAACACAGTCCCTCCCTCCACACATGCAAACACATGCCTGAAACAGGTAGGACGTACTAGGGCTATGGTTTTGAAATGGGCAGGAAATTAATTTTGTTTCTTCCCCTAAAGGACAAAATGCTTACTTAAAAATTCATGACAAGCCTCAAAGTTCAGGGAGAGGAGAGCCAGGGAGGGGAGGGCCACAGGCTCTGCTCTCCCAAAAGAAAAAGAAAGAAGCAAGGTTAAAGTGCGTGGTTAGGGGGCCAGGCCAGGAATGGGAGGGGGCGGGGCAGGCTGTGGGGGCAGAACCAGCCCTTGATTTGCATATGAGGAGCCGGGGGAAGAGTGCAGGATTTGGGGCCCAGGTACAGTAGTCGCTGCTTCAAGTGTTTTGCATTTGAACTTTAGGGGCGATAGGTACAGAAGTGGGGGAAAAGCTCCAGGCCCCAGTGCTAAATACCCTCCCCCCTCATTCTCTAGCTGCCCCTGAAGGGGGAGGGGGCGCCCCCAGAGTGCTCACACAGTACCAGAAATTAAGGCTTCTCACTGCTGCGGGGATGGAGGGGCCAGCCAAGCAGGGAGGCAGTGATGGGAATGGAAGAGGAGGGGGGATCTGCCTGGCAGTAAGGGCAGGGCAAGGGGGTGCAGAGGGGGAGAGTCCAAGGGAAGAGGGGGAGCAGCTGGCAGCAGAAAGAGGGAGCTGAGATGGAGTCAAAGAGAGGGGAAGCCAGGCATTCAGCAATCATTTTGGGACACTTGGCAGAGGGGTGGCCTGGGGTGCTCCCTGTCAGCCCCAGACCCCTGCCAGGCCAGTGGTGCGGCAAAGGGGTGAGCAGCTGCTCCCCAGTGCTTCATGTTCCCCTCCGCCCCCCAACCCAGTCGTGTTCTCCTTTAAAGTGCCCTAAATGTTTAGACTTTTTCTAAATAAATAGAATAAGATATCAAGCCACCGGCAGGGAGAGGGATTCTGGAGGGGCTACTCAGAGTAGCAGCCATCTAGCCCGATGGCACCGTGCCGCTCCTGGCTGTAGGGGCACGAGGCCCCGTGGGGCAGGGCGCCGCAGCCACCCACCGTCTTGGCGGCTGCGATGCCGCAGTTCTTGAGCAGGCTGAAGCTGAAAGGACTGACGGCGTCCTTGGGCGGGAAAGGCTTCATGGTGGAAAGGATCAAGGCCAGGCAGTCTGCCACGTCTTTGTTAGGGGCACAGGCCAGGGCCGGGGTGTGACCTGCGGGGCCAAGTGCGGGGAGCTGAGGCACAGTCCTGGATCCTTGGGTCCCCAGCCTCTGGGAGGGCAACCGAAGCGGGTAAGCACCCAGGTGGTCAGAATTCAAGGGCAACCAGGGCCCCAGGAGGCTGACAGGGAGATTCCCAAAGTGTAGGGTCCAGGCTGGAGCCAGGCCGGGGGGATGGGACATGGAAGCCTGGATGTGTGTGTGAGTGAAGAGGGGGTCCTCCCGACCCTGCTGGCTCCATCACATTCCCCTCTGACTCCACAGTACTGGTAGTGGTGGGTCCCTGCTCTCAAGACTTCCCTTGGGAAGAAAATCTTATTTGCAGCAAGATTAAGAAGTCACCTCCTGGAAGATGGCCCCTGGCCCCAAGCCCACGAGAGGTGAGGACTCCAGATCCCCCTACCTTCTTCATCCACAGCCAGCACTGTGGCCCCACGGCTCAGCAGGGCCTGCACCACGGAAGCTAGACCGTTCCGGGCAGCAATGTGGAGTGGCCTTGGAAGAAAGGAAGGAGCGCGAAATCAGCAGGAGGCCAGGCTGCCCTCCCACCCCAGCCAGGGTGGCAAGGGCTCTGGACAAATGCTGCGAGCTCCAGAGCCCCTGGAGCGGGGGCTGCTCCTTCTTCACCCACCTGCCTCCCCCAGCCAGGAGCCCCCTTCCCCAGGCACTCACATCTGCAGTGCACTGTTAGTAGCATTGATAAGGCCAAGGTCTTGGGTCTCTGCCAGGATCATGAGGGCACATTTCTCATGGCCCTGAGGGAGAGGACAGAGAGTGGGCACTTGTGAAGTGGAAGCATGACGGGCGGACAGTGGGCTGTCCCACCAGTCAGATGGGCTGGAGAAGTGTAACTTCTGTCCCAATCTGCTCTGCATCAAGCCCTTCCCCATTCTGTTGAGGTCTGCCCGTGACACAGCCCACACCCCAGCCCCCCGACTCCAGGCAGTACCTTGCTACAAGCCAAGTGGAGGGCAGTGTTCTTATTCTCATCCAGCACAGTGAGGTCTGCCTTCCCTCGATACAGCAGAAATTCTGTAAGAGAAATGCGACCGTGGGAGTGACACCTCCTTCCAGGGCAGCAGCCATCCTGCCTCTCCACCCACCCCGGCTGCGTCCTGACCCCAACCCCAGTCCACACGCCGGGGGCGCTCCTCCCTTCCATGTGGCCCCTACCCACCCACGGCAGCAGTCTGCCCATTCTCCGCCGCCGTCATGAGTGCAGTGCGGCCACTGTGGTCCGTGGCGTTCACCTCGGCTTGATGCTGCAGCAGCATCCGGAGCCCAGAGACATTGTCTGCGAAGGCAGCGGCGTGAAGGGGGGTCCTGTGGGTGGGCAGGGCAGAGTGAAGAGGGGCATGCCCTTGTGCCTGAGCAAACAGGAACCCCAGGTGCCCGGGCTCCTCCGCGAACCGTCCCTCACTCACCGTCCTTTGGCATCTCGGCTGTTCACAATCTTGGCACCCAGAGCTCCCAGCAGCATCTCTGTGGTGCTGTCCTGGTTATTAATTCTAGGGAAGAGGGAGCAGGGGTCACCAGGAAGGCAAGGGAAGTGGCCTTCCTATGCTGACGCAGGTCACAGCCCCCGCGCCCCCGGAGGCGGGGAGCCCACAGTGCACAGGGACTTACACTGCACAGTGCAAAGGAGTGAAGGGGTTTCCTTCCAGGTACGAAAATGGGCTGTGTTCAAGTAACAACTCCAGACAATCTTCATGTCCTGGGGACGAGGACGAAAGGGTGACAACAGAGAAAAGGCAGGGGCGCTCCACTCCACTTCCAGGCCCGCTTCAGCGCAGGCTCCCCACAGCCCACCCTCTCTACATCGCACACACATTCTGAGCCTACCGGAGGCCCAGGCCATACCAGTGTAGGAGGCCCAGTGCATGGGCGAGTATCCGCTGTAATCCACCCCAGCATCCAGGGGGTCTGTGGACAGGGCAGCCTGCAGTAGTGTCCGCAGGACTGCTGTGTGGCCACAGGCTGAGGCCAGGTGAATGGGCGTGCGGCCCTTAAAGTCTCGGCAGAGCACAAACGCATCGTGGTCCAGCAGGGCAGCCAGGCAGTCCTCACAGCCAGTCACTGCCTGTGGGGGGACACAGGGGCGAGAGTCGGGGTGAGGAGCCCTTCCCTTTCTGCCGGCCAGGAGCAGGAACCACCTCCAGGGCTCCAATCCCTGATGCACAACAGGCAGCCCAGGTGTTAGGCACCAGCATCTCCTTCCCTGTGTCTCTGTGTCAACAGCCATCAGGATGGCCAGAGTCCACCCCGCAGCTCTGGAGTGAGACACTGAATGCAGAGCCAAGAAAGGACCGAGGGGGTGGGAATCTTGGGGGAGGAGGAGGCAGCTCTGGGACAGTGGTCGTGAGAAGGACCTGGGTGATGGCCGCACTGTCTGAGGGCACAGTAGTCTGAGTGGTGGGCCTGTGCTCATGTGTGATTACAAAGCAGGGCAGTCAGCTGGGGACGGTGGCCACTCATCCTGCAGCAGGCACACCCTTGTGTGAAAGCCTGGCCCGCCTCCTACACAGTCCGATGCCCTGCTGCTGGGGGGCGCTGTGCTGCCACATCGAGGCCTGCCTGTGAGCAACCCGCCCAGGAGCTCTCACCCCACGGTGGAGGGCAGTGCGGCCCCGGAGGTCAGCAGCATCGGCTGTGGATCCTTTCTCTAGCAGCAGATGTACACAGTCCACGTGGCCATTCATGATGGCCAGCATCAGTGGGGTTCTACAGAGGGGGGCAGGAGAAAGGGTGAGGGTCCAGCACGGGTGGGAACACCTGCATCCCACCCCCCGCCCACACTCACTGTCCATAGGCATCCATGACATCAGTGATGTCAGCTCGCTCCCCACTGTCAATCAGCAAGTGCAGGGAGTCAGTGTGGCCAGAGGCAGCTAGAGACAAAAGGGAGCTTGCATCAGGGCAGGGTCAGCTCGAGCCTCAAGGCTGCAAGGGTCAAGGTTACGGGAAGACCTGGGGCAGCGAGACACTCTGGAGACAGGAAGCTATGAATCAGGACACATGGTTACATCCGCCCTGCCCCAGCCCTCTCCCAGGCCTAACTGTTCAGGAAGCGGGCACTAACCAGCAGCGTGCAGGGGCGTCCACTTGCGCTTACGCTCCTTGATGAGGGCGGAGGCACCGTGGGCCGTGAGTACCTCCACACACTCAGTAGAGCCTCGCTCAGTGGCCAGGAAGAGCGCGGTCCGGCCTTTGTGGTCCCTTACATCCAGGTTCACCAGCGTCTCCGCCAGCGTCTTCAGGGCTTCACAGTGACCGTTATAGGCCTAGAGGTGTGCAGGCAACCAACAGATGCAGCTCGAGACACACACCTGGCCCTACTGTGCCTTGGGAGCCCATGGAGACACTCTAGGCATTAGTCCTCCACAGCTCCCCAGGCCCCTCGGGCTTCTCCCCCTGCATTGTGCCCTTCCCCACAAGAAGGCAGACGCAAGGATCAGGTGATTGGGTCACCCTTACGCGAGCCTGAGAGCAGGTGGGGCAGGGACGGCAAGAAGAAAAGACTGGGGACTCACAGCTAAGTGCAAAGGGCTGACTGGAATGGTGCTCTCCACATCCTCCAGGCAGTTAAAGGACATTTCTAAGAGCTGCAATGGACAGGAAAACAGGCGCTGAGGTTCGGCAGCTCCTAAGGTATCAGTCCCCTGCCGCCCCACTGACAGTCATCTCTAAGCTCCTGGTTCCACGGAGCACACTTGATACAACCACCCCTTGGTTTCAGAATCCACAAACCCAGAGGTAGACCATGCACCTTGGCCTGGCCTCGGCACATACCAGTTCGAGGTTCTGTCTGTTGCCGTAGGCGGCTGCATAGTGCACAGCTGTGTAGCCCTGCCTGTCCCGCAGGGAGGGGTCTGCACCATTATCCAGTAAGAATTCCAGACAGCTGTGGAGCCGGGGGTAGGCTGTGAGGCACAACTCTGAGAGGGGCAAGAGGGCCCCTCCAGGCCCACCAGCCACCACCTATCCTCGGCTCCAAATCCTGCTTACCCCCAGCCCGGATCCTGACCCGCCACTCCTCAAGGGCTGCCCTAGAGCACTCTGGCTTCAGCACCTCCTTCAGCCTTTGAGTGCTCGTCTAGAAAAGCCAGCGCACGGGCTTCAGTCTGCACCCTCCACCCTCGACCCGACCTGGCGGCTACCGCCCAGAATGCAGCCTCACCCCAGCCCCTCTGAAGCAGCTCTACTCAGCTTTCTGTTACCAGTGGTCGTAACCATGGTACCCCAGAAGCACAGAGTGCTCCCCTATCTGCTGCTTCACTTCCTAGGGTTAGGCCAGGCTGAAGCAAGGAGCTGGGAACCCAATCTGGGTCTCCCACGTGGGTGGCAGGGACCCAAGTGCTCGGAGCCACATTGCTTCCTCCCAGGATATGTAATGACAGGAATCGAAGCCACAGCTGCAAAGCAAACGCAAGCACTGGGATATGGGCACCTTAATCGCTAGGCCAAATACCTGCCCCCTGCTCATTTCAAACCCAGTCCCAGCTCCTCTCCTCTGTCTACCCCAGCCTTCCCAGCTAGGCGCCTCTCCCCTTCTCATACCCTAGCAGGAGCTGTGACAGTAACAGTCAAGTGTTTAGCACTCATGATGCGTCCAGACTATTCTAAGCACTTCATGTGTGTTAAAAATAATGTAATCCTCATACTGATCTTACCTTGACCATGGTTGAGGAAATCGAGGCACAGAGAGACTAAGTAATGTGCCAAAGCTCACACAGCTGAGCCGCTCGAATTTGATTACACTTTTTTTTTTTTTTTTTTTTTAGAGATTTTTATGGGGTTGGCACTGTGGCAAAGCGGGTAGAGCTGCTGCCTATGGCACCAGCATCCCACATGGATGCAGGTTCAAATTCAGGCTACTCAATTTCCAATGCAGCTCCCTGCTAGTGGCTTGGGAAGGCAGCAGAAGATGGGTCAAGTGCTTGGAGCCCTGCCACCCATGTTGGGGACCCAGAGGAAGCTCCTGGCTCCTGATCAGTCCAGCTCTGGCAGTTGCAGCCATCTGGGGAGTGAACCAGTAGATGGAAGACCTCTCTCTCTCTCTCTCTCTGTCTCTCCTTCTCTCTCTGTAAGCCTGCCCTTCAAATGAATAAATTTTTTTTTTTTTAATTTTACTTACAGAGAGAAAGAGATCTTCCACCCACTGTTTCATTCCATAGATGGCTGCAACAGCCAAAGTAGGTCAGGCTGAAGCCAGGAGCTTCTTCTGGGTTTCTCAAGTAAGTGGCAGGGACCCAAACACTTGGGCATTTCTCACTGCTTTTCCCAGGCCATCAGCAGGGAGCTGGATTGGAAATGGAGCAGCTGCAAGTTAAACTAGTGTGCATATGGGAAACTGGCATTACAGGCAACAGCTGTAACTATGCCACAAAACTGGCACCAATTATTAGCTTTTTTTTTTTTTTTTTTTTTTTTGGACAGGCAGAGTGGACAGTGAGAGAGAGAGACAGAGAGAAAGGTCTTCCTTTTGCTGTTGGTTCACCCTCCAATGGCTGCCATGGCTGGCACGCTGCGACCGGCGCACCGCACTGATCCAAAGGCAGAAGCCAGGTGCTTCTCCTGGTCTCCCATGGGGTGTAGGGCCCAAGCACTTGGGCCATCCTCCACTGCACTCCCGGGCCACAGCAGAGGGCTGGCCTGGAAGAGGGGCAGCCAGGACAGAATCCGGCGCACCGACTGGGACTAGAACCCGGTGTGCCGGCGCCGCTAGGTGGAGGATTAGCCTATTGAGCCGCAGCGCCAGCCGCCAATTATTAGCTTTTTAAAAAAATAAACTTGAGGGCCCGCGCCGTGGCTCAATAGGCTAATCCTCCACCTTGCGGCGCCGGCACACCGGGTTCTAGTCCCGGTCGGGGCGCCGGATTCTGTCCTGGTTGCCCCTCTTCCAGGCCAGCTCTCTGCTATGGCCAGGGAGTGCAGTGGAGGATGGCCCAGGTGCTTGGGCCCTGCACCCCATGGGAGACCAGGAAAAGCACCTGGATCCTGGCTCCTGCCATCGGATCAGCGCGGTGCGCCGGCTGCAGTGGCAGCCATTGGAGGGTGAACCAACGGCAAAGGAAGACCTTTCTCTCTCTGTCTCTCTCTCTCACTGTCCACTCTGTCAAAAAAAAAAAAAAAAAAAAAAAAACACTTGAGGGGCTGGCGCTGTGGCGTAGCGGGTTAACGCCCTGGCATGAAGTGCTGGCATCCCATATGGATGCCGGTTCTAGTCCCAGCTGCTCCTCTTCCAATCCAGCTCTCTGCTATGGCCTGGGAAAGCAGTAGAAGATGGCCCAAGTCCTTGGGCCCCTGCACCTACATGGGAGACCTGGAAGAAGCTCCTGGCTCCTGATCAGCTCAGCTCCAGCCATTGCAGCCAATTGGGGAATGAACCAATGGATGGAAGACCGCTGTCTCTCTGCCTCTCTTCTCTCTGTGTAACTCTGACTTGCGAATAAATAAATAAATAAATCTTTAAAAAAATAAATTAAAAAATTAAAAACTTGAGGCTGGTGCTATGGCATAGCAGGTTAAGCAAATGCTTATGGCACCAGCATCCCCCATGGGCACCAGTTGGAGTCCCAGTTGCTCCACTTCCCATCCAGCTCCCTGCCATGGCCTGGGAAAGCAGTAGAAGATGGCCCAAGTCCTTGGGCGCCTGCACCCACGTGGGAGACTGGGAAGAAGCTCCTGGCTTCTGGTTTCAGATTGGCCCAGCTCTGGCTGTTGTGGCCATTTGAGTGAACCAGCGGATGGAAGATCACTCTCTTTGTCTCTCCCTCTTTCTGTCTGTAACTCTGCCTCTCAAATAAATAAATAAATCTTTAAAAAATAAACTTTTTATTTGGAACAGGCTTAGAGTTACCAAAAAACAGTGAAGATAGAAGAGAGATGGGGCTGGTGTTGTGGTGCTCTGCACCAAGTTGCTGCCTACAATGCCGGCATCCCACATCTAAGCACCAGTTCAAGTTCGGCTGTTCTGCTTCTAATCCAGCTCCCTGCTCAAGTGCCTGGAAAAGCAGCAGAAGATGGCTCAAGTGCTTGGGCCCCTGCACCCACGTGAGATCTGGATGGTGCTCCAGCCCCTGGCTCTCAGCCTGGACCAGCCCTGCTGCTGTGGCCATGTGGGGAGTGAGCCAGAGGATGGAAGAGCTCTCACTCGGTCTCTCCTTCTGTCACTCTGCTTTTTAAATAAATAAATAAATCTTAAAAAAAAAATCCACAATCGTTTCCCCTCTTACAGACATCTTCTATCTGTGAGTGGCTCTTTTTGTTACCTTTCCCAGTAGATTGGGTTTTTTAAGGGCAGACATTTGGGGTAATTCATTGTTTACCCTCAGCGCCCAGCGTGGTACTAGAAGCCTAGGAAAGCAATATTCAACGACTGCCTGTGACATGGACAATGAGCTGTGTCCTGAGCTTTTCTGATCTGCTCAGCAAGACCTCCCACTCCTTGAAGGGTGGACGATGCCTTGCGCTTCTGGCTTTCCTCAGCCCGGGCTAATCCTGGCCATGCCGGCAGCGGCAAGTGTGGGAGAGAAGGCTGGGGCAGGCCACGCCGCGGGGAAAACGCGCCCCGGGCTCCTCTCTGCTACTCACAAGAAGGCCTCCTTCCTGCGGGACTCCTTCAGTGGCTCGTCCTCCTCAGCGTCGTGGCTGGAAGCTGTGTGGGCTTCCGCTCTGGGCAAGAGGGCATGAGCAAGTCAGGGCAGGGCGCGGGGTGGGGAGTGGGCTGAGGAGGACCCGGGGGGAGCCTCACCTCCTATAGGTGTCGGAGGCGGCAGCATAGTGGAGCGGGGAGCAGCCTTTACAGTCAGCCTCGTTGACGCCGGCCCCGGCCGTCACCAGCGTCACTGCGCACTGGTAGCTGCCGTTGGCGGCTGCATAGTGCAGTGGGGTCCTGGGGGAAGGGCAGGAGGATGGGTGCAAGAATCAGAAGCCGCTCTGACCGCTCGCTACCACTAGCCTCCCTCCTGCCTGGTAGCCTACCTTCCAAACTTATCTCTCCTCCTCAAGTCAGCTCCACTGCTCAACAGCAAATTAAGACATTCAACATTCCTAAAAGCAAGATGAGGGTAAGGGTCCCGAGGAGAGGCCACAGCCCAGGAAGGGTTAAGGCAGGGTGCGACTGGACTGCCTCTTCTGCTCCCACGGAGGGAGGGGAACAGACCCTCGCCCAGAGCCCCCTCTCAGAGCCTGGGAGACGGGAAGGAGAACGCACCCTCCAGAAGCAGCAGCATGAAGACAGGTACGGCCAAGGTTGTCAGGTGTGTTGATGTCAAACCCAGCCGAGAGCACGTGCTCGTTGCTGAGTGAAGATACAATGCTGTACAGCTGACCTGGAGGGCGGGCACCCACTGTCACATCTGAGGGCACCGAGCTGAGGGAGAGGCCCCTGCTCTGTGTACACCTGCCCAGCCCCCAGCCAATCGGCACATACCTGAGGAAAGAAGCTTGCGGCAACAGTCAGAGAACCCAAAGAGGACAGCTAAGTGCAGGGGGAACATGTCATGGATGCCGCGCCTGGGAGAGGTGGAGGGACTCGGTCAGCACTTTCTGTACGCCACCCCTCCTCCACCCCCACGCGCCACTGCCCCAGGCAGGGTAAGGACGCCCTCCATGCCTCCCTTGGGCAAGCGTGTTTGAGGTGGGTGGTATGTACAGATGCACAGCAGCCCAGAGACGGGGCCAGGGGCCGGGACGCACCGGGCGGTATCCGCGCCATTGGTCATGAGGGTGCTGATGAGCAGCTCGTGTCCGTAGCGAGCAGCCACGTGCAGGGGCGTGTTCCCAAACTTGTCGGCACAATCAATCTCGCTGCCTGAGAGGGGGAGGCACACACAGAAGCCCCGGCAGAGCTCAGGCTCGGGCCACTCCCGCGAGCAGTTCCCTCCTAGGAACTGATCTGGCTAAGCCTTCAGCGTGTGAGCCATAGGGGGCCAGGCAGGGGCGGGGCAGGGCCGTTCTCCAGGTGCCTGTCTCCCCAGGTGCCTGTCTCCGAAGACAGGCAGGGCTTTCTAGGGCTGAATTCCTTGGGGGAGGAGATGAGAGCACAGTCTCCCAGGCCCATACCATTCTGGATGAGGATCTGGGAGCGCGTGAAGCGGCCATGGATTGCAGCCATGTGCAGAGGACTCTTCCCTTCTTTGCTCTGTGGAAACAGCGGGGTTTGTCTTTTTTTTTTTTTCTTTTTTTTTTTTTGTAGTGCAAAGCACAAAGAATGTTTCAAAGGACACATCTCTGAGGATGGAGGGGTTCTATGGACATCTCAGCCCATGCTTTGCTGAGCACCCCCGGAGGCGAGGGACAATTCCCCAGGAGAGCTATCCAGACATGGCCAGGATCCCCAGAGCCAGGTTCCTCTCCCAACCAGTCCCTGCGGGCACCTGGTAGTTGACATCAGCCCCATTATTGACCAGCAGCTCCAAACAAAGTGCTCCATTGGTGGAGACGGCAGCCACGTGCAGCGGCGTGAAGCCCTTGTCATTCGGCTGGTTGACATTGGCGCCTGCATTCACCAGCTCAATGGCCACAGCATCCTGGCCCAGGTAGCAGGCGATGTGCAAAGCTGTGTTTCCAAAAGCGTTGGGCTCATCGATCTGGATTTCCAGGAGTGAGGGGAAGGGAAGCAATGGTTTAAACAAAGTGGAAACCAGCACATAAAGCCTACAGAATCCCAGGAATCCAACAACTGCCCCAGACCCCCCAAGTTTCTGACCCAAGGGATGGAGGGTGCTGTTATTCGGGGCAAGCGGCATTCAGACCCTCACTATCTCCTCCCAGAACCATACCCATAAAACCAGCACCTTCCTAGTCCCTTCAGAAACTACCAGGTCCAGCTCCCTGCCCATAGCCCCCAGCCCACGCCGGGCTCAGAGCCCTGACCTCAGCCCCCATCCGGAGCAGGTACTTCACCACTTCGACCTGGCCACTGGCAGCGGCCGTGTGGAGCAGCCCGTAGCCCTTGCGGTCCTTACAGCCCAGGTCTGCTCCCCGCGCCACCAGCAGTTTCAGGACCTCCAAGTGCCCTGGGAAAAGAGCACTCTCAGGGAGGTGGAGGGTGAACTCCGGAGGCCCTGAGCTCCGCAGTCTGCAACCTTATATTCCCGCCCTGGGAGCCTCCAGCGGCAAATTCCGGGTCCTCCTGCCTGTGCACTCACCTAGAAAAGCGGCCCAGTGCAGGGGCTGCCGTTCCTTTTTGTCACAGACGTTCAGGCTGGCTCCCTTGTTGAGGAGCAGGTTCACCGTCTGTATCAGGACATAGACAACCCGTTCAGAGCCCAGTTGATGCCTACCAAAGGGCACAGGCCTCATCTCCTGAGGTCTCTGTTCCCGAGCACAACAACCTGGAGTTCTACAGGGACAGTAGGGGCAGGCACTGAGGAGATCCCTAGTAGATGCAGAAGTTGTAGGGACATGCCCACAAGTGGCTTAGGGTGATCTGCTGGCTCTGAAACTCCTAGGGAGTCTTTGCTTTTATTTATTTATTTATTTAAGACAGAAAGAGGGAGAGTGCGCACATCCACTGGTTCACTCCCTAAAGCCCACGACAGCCGAAGCCAGGAGCCAGGAACTCAACGCAGATCTCCCATGTGTGTGGCAGGAACCCTGTTACTTGAGCCATCACTTCTGCCTGCCAAGATGCACATTAGCAGGAAGCTGGAGTCAGGAGGTGAGTATCAAACCCAGGCACTTGGGATACTGGATGTGGGTGCCTTACTCAGCTTCTTTACCACTAGGCCAAACGCCTGTGCCTCTCACCAGTCATTGAAAACGCATGACCAACAAATGGGGACTCTCTCTTCAGAAAAAGGTGTGTGTACCAACATTTTCCACGTGACTTCAGAGGGTTTACCAACCTCCTGAAGTCCAAGTCAAGCTCCCTAATCTGACTTTCATCCTGTACGGGAGCCCAGGTCCTTACAGAACATCTATCTGTGCTGCTGCTTCCCCAGCCCCAGTGGCCCAGAAGCAGGGCCAGGTGAGCACGCAGGGCAGGCACTGGGCTGGCCTAGCCTGCAGCACTCCTCACCTCAAGATGTCCACTATGCACTGCATGGTGCAGCGCACTGCGCCCACTCCTGTCAGCCACGTTGAGGCTGCTCAACAAGGGTGCCAGAGCCTCGGCACACTTGGTGGCCCGGTTGGCGGCAGCCACATGCAGTGGTGTCTGCCACAGCTTGTCTCGGGCGTTCACATCTGCTGAATGTGCCAGCAGCAGCCCCAGCACCTTCTGTGGAGGGACAGAGGACAAGGAAGAAGATAGAGGGGCATCAGGAGGATAAAACAAGAGGGAGTGGAAGGAGGAAACGGGTCAGCAGGGCACATGTGGCCCCACCCCCACTAGCAGTCCACGCTCACTTTCCAGGACACCTAGTTCCAACCTGCTGGACCTTCCGAGAGCTCCAGTTCTTCCTCACCTTGCTCCCCCTTCCCCAAGCCACACGCACCACTCCCTGAACCACATCCTGGAAATCTTCACTTACATAGGAGGGGGCTTCCAAAAGCTCACAGAAAACGTGCGTTATGAAAAAACGACGCCTGGATTTTAAAACGTTCTGCCTCAGAATCAGCTGCTTCTTTTAGCTATCCCATGAACTTTTGGAAGCGCCGCCTTCCGCCCACTCCCAAGCAAAAACACACAGGAAGGGCTGCACATCCCAAACCCCACCGCTCCTAGGAAAAATAAATGCTCCTGCTACAGAAATGAATACCTCCTTAGCCCTTCCACAGACCAAAGGTGTTTGTTTCCCTTACCTCAGAGAGCAAACATACCCTGGGTCCTCTCCATAACCTAAGCGCAGACGCCCCTCCTAACCACCCACCTCACTCCCACTGCTGTCTCAGCCCCTCCCCCTGGCGGCCGACGGGGGAAGTGATGGGCCAATCAAGGAGGGAGGTCTCCTTTTCCCTTCTTTCAGGGTTGCTGGGAACAAGGTACAGGACCCAACAGAGAGGGTTATGCTTGGCCCCTGAGCTGTCAACTTCCATGCTGACTGAGGAGCTGGGATGCAGCGGACCACTGCCCCTGTCCCCCATGACAAGCAGAGAAACCTCCATGCCCAGAGGGGGCTCAGACTCAAGGTGGCCCCCCAGGGAAGGATGAGTCACTCAGGCCTGGCAGCGGGCCCCCACAGTCTGCCAGCCCAGTGTTAGGCTCTCTCTGATGCAACACCAGAGCCCCTTACCAGCCAGTACCAGGGGCAGGAGAGAGGAGCCAAGGGCTGCTTTCCTCCCGACCTGGAGGAGGGCAGGGGACAGAGGCGCCTCCACCCTCACCTCTAGCCTTATCACCTCGACCCCGTACCTCGTTTCGGGAGGCAGCAGCACGATGAAGAGGGGTCAGCCACAGTGTATCCTTAGCATTGACGTTAGCACCTGTAGGGATGTAATTTCCTGTTTTGATGGGAGGTGGAGAGGGGGTAGGGAGGCAATGGGAAGGGGGCCTGGATCCAAGCACTAGAGATCAATGCTGCTTGCATATGAAACAGGAGGCTCCTCCCCTCGGCTCCCCTCCTAGGTGCCACGCCTTCCAGCTCCCCACTTTCACCTGACATCAGTAGCAACTGGAGGATGGGGACATCGCCTACGTAGGCAGCAGCATGCAGTGGGGTTCGCCTCTCTTGGTCCTGGCAAGAGAGAAAAGAGGAGCAGCTGTAGGGAGGAGGGGGGGCTATCCAGGACCCCAGCCCAAGCCTCAGAGCCCCAGGCTCTTCCCCACAATCTCCTCCCATAGGTTCTGCAGCGTCCTAAATGCCCGTAAGGAGAGTCAAAGGCAAGAGCACCTAGGGAGGGTGGAGTCAGGGCCGAGGGGCCCGAGAAGCGGCCATCTCCTTCTTCCAGGAGGGGTAGGGGCTCTGCAGACCCCACCGCTTCAGAAGAGAACACCCTTTCTGGGCATCCCCGGCCCCACGGGGCTGTGCTCCAAGCCTGACTTGCTCTCCATGCCCAAACGCAGAGCAGGTTCCCATCCCAAGGTGGAAATAGCTGCGGCCTCATCTAAGCAGAGACGCGGAACCGCCCCGCTGATGGGGAGGGGTCCGGAACACCGGAGCCCGGATTCTGGGCTCGCCATCCTCCCTGCTCCCAACTCACCAGCACATTGATGTTCTCCTTCTGCGAGAGGAGGGAACGCACTTCCTCCACATCTCGGCTAAAGATGGCCTGGACCAGGGGCGGCTGCAGAGAGAGCTGGCATTCAGGGAGCGGGCCGGAGCCGGAGCGGAACCAAGCGGGTAGGCGAGCACCCAGCGTTGAGGGGGGCCGTCGCCGGAGGGGCTCCGCTCCGGGGGGTCCTGGCTGCAGCGGGCTCCTGCGGTGCCTCCGCTGGTCCCCAGGCCCCCAAGGGCACCCGCTCGGTTGAGGGGAGCGCGGCGTGGGGCGGGGCGGGAGCCGCGGGAGCCCCGGGCTCGGGCCCAGCCTAGGCCGCACATCCCCGGGCTCGCGTGGCGGCGGCGCCGGGCTCTGGAAGGAGGGAGTGGAGGAAAGGAAGAAGGGCTGACCTGGTCCGTGATGCTGAGGATCCCCATGGCCCGGCCCGGGCTCCGTCCGCATCGAGCTCCCGGCGGCGGCGGCGGCGGCTCCACCGGGGACACGGGGCGGCCCAGGCGGCGGCTGCGGCGGCGGCAGCGGGGAGAGCGCAGCCCCGCCTACCGGGGGGCGGGCGAGAGGGAGCCCGCAGCGCTCCCTGGCGGCGGTCCTGGGCCCGGCCGCAGGCGCTCGCGGTTCGGGCTGCCCCAGGCCGCAGTGCCCTCCGCCCCGGCCTGGCCGGCCCCAGCGACCCCGGCACCCCAACCCCCGCGCGCTGGCTCCTTGGCTCCTTCCGCGGCCGCGCGGTGCTCTTCGCTCCAGTCCGGCGACCCCAGCGGAAACCCGGACCCTGGTCCTGAGGTATCGCCCAACCTGAGGACCAAATGGCTGGCCGGCTCTCGCCCAGCCCACTGTCTCCGCGAGCTAACGCCTCTCCCCTCAGCCCCCCAAATCCCGCACAGAGGAGGGGAGACCTGGGAGTGGCGAGCTGGGGGTCATCTATGGCAATAGCCCCAGAAGGAAGGAAGGCGTGCTTCTCCACGGGTGGGGGAGACTTGAGCTGGATAGAAAGGAAATAGCAGAAGTGTTCCAACTGCAGAGGAATCGCCGGGAGGGGGCCAGGACGCTTGGCAGCTGGCAAAAGGCTGCAGGATCAGCCCAAGGGGCACTTTCTTTCTTTAAGATTTATTTATTTGGGGGCCGGTGCTATGGCGCAGTGGGCAAAGCCGCCGTCTGCAGTGCCTTTATCCCACATGGGTGCAGGTTTGAGTCCCAGCCGCTCCACTTCCCATCCAGCTCCCTGCTAAAGCATCTGGGAAAGAAGCGGTGGATGGCCCAAGTCCTTGGGCCCCTGCACCCAGGTGGGAGACTCGGAAGCAGCTCCTGGCTCCTGGCTTTGACCTGGTCCAGCCCCAGCCCCAGCCATTGCCGCCATTGGGATGTGAACCAGCCAATGGGAGATCTCTCTCTCCCTCTCCCTCTCTCTCTGTAACTGTGTCTTTCAAATAAATAAATCAATCTTAAAAAAAAACAAAAAAAAAAAAAGATGTATTCACTTGAAAGGCAGAATGACAGAGATCTTCCATCTGCCTGTTCACTTCCCAAATGGCCACTATTGCTGAATCCAGGAGCCTGGACCTCCCTCGGGGTCTCCCATATGGATTGCAGGGATCCAAGCACTTGAACCATCTTCTGCTGCCTTCCCAGGAGCATTAGTAGGAAGCTGGATTGGAAGCAGAGCAGCCAGGACTCCAACCACCAGCACTCTGATATGAGAAACCAGTATAGCAAGCTGAGGCTTAACCTGCTTTGCCACTATGCTGGTGGAATGGGCATTTTTCAATGCCCTAATTATTCTGGTGGTTAAGGTGGTGGGGCTCCGTACAACGAAAGGAGGAGGTGCAATTCCTTCCCCACTGGAAAGGCAGACAGCAGCCAGTATGGAAAGATCTGAGTGGAGGTCATCCCAGCCCAGAGGGGAAAAAAGCAGGAAGGAGAAAAGAGAGATTCAAAAAAAGGTGCAATGGGCCGGCGCCGCGGCTCACTAGACTAATCCTCCGCCTGTGGCGCCGGCACACTGGGTTCTAGTCCCGGTCGGGGCGCCGGATTCTGTCCCGGTTGACCCTCTTCCAGGCCAGCTCTCTGCTGTGCCCAGGGAGTGCAGTGGAGGATGGCCCAGGTGCTTGGGCCCTGCACCCCATGGGAGACCAGGAGAAGCACCTGGCTCCTGCCTTCGGATCAGCGTGCTGCGCCGACCGCAGTGTGCTGACCGCGCGGCCAGCCATTAGAGGGTGAACCAACGGCAAAGGAAGACCTTTCTCTCTCTTTCTCTCTGTCTCTCTCTCTCACTATCCACTCTGCCTGTCTAAAAAAAAAAAAAAAAAAAAAAAGGTGCAATGTATAGGGTGTGGTCCAGGGTCCTGTTCAGAGCTCAGCAACCGAGTACAGTGAAAGGCCCTGTCAAGGAGCACAAAAAGCCCTCCCTGGCCTTCAGTGTCTTGCTTCTTGCTTCTTGCTGGAAAGATACTCAAGACAGCGCTGAAAGAAAATGAGAGCCAGGAAATGTGGAGGAAGAGGGAAATTTATCATTTTAGAGGTCCTAGATGTGGAGGGTGGCCCCAGGGCACTTGGTGGGGTCCTTTAAGGTAAAGGGGATAAAGGTTCCCCAGCTCCACCCAGAGATGCAAATCACTTGCCTAGGAAATACTCTTGGACCTTAGACAGCTCTCCCAAGGAAACTCGGCAGTTACAAGTACGCCACTTCTTCTTCTTCTTCTTCTTTTTTATTTTATTTTATTTTTTTTTATTTGACAGATAGACAGTGAGAGAGACACAGAGAGAAAGGTCTTCCTTTCGTTGGTTCACTCCCCAGATGGCTGCACGGCCAGAGCTACGCCGATCCTAAGCCAGGAGCCAGGTGCTTTTTTCCTGGTCTCCCACACGGGTGCAGGTGCCCAAGCACTGCACTCCCGGGCCACACAGAGAGCTGGACTGGAAGAGGGGCAACTGGGACAGAATCCGGCGCCCCGACCGGGACTAGACCCCGGTGTGCCAGCGCTGCAAGGCGGAGGATTAGCCTAGTGAGCCGCGGCGCCAACCCTACAAGTACAGCTGGCTGGTCTGCCTGCTGCTCCCTTACAAGCACATGGTAGCATGTACCCTACCTAGAAAGAGACTGTGGCTACAGATATACGCTGAGATTACACCCCAGGCCCTAGCACTAAAGGTGCTCCTCTGATGCACAGTACAACCTCTTGGGATGTGCTTAACAATTATGATTGCTCATTGTCGTGTTTAGTCAGTATTTTCTTTCTCTCTCTTTCCTCCTCCCTCCCTCCCCTCCTCCCTCCCTTCCTTCCTTCCTTCCTTCCTTCATTCCTTCCTTCCTTCCTTCCTTTCTTCCTTCCTTTCTCTTTCTCTTTCTTTTTGAAAGACTGAGTTACAGAGAGAGGTAGAGACACAGAGAGAGAGGTCTTCCATCCGCTGGTTCACTCCTAAGGACTTGGGCCATCTTCCACTGCTTTCTCAGGTCAGAGCAGAGAGCTGGATCTGAAGAGGAGCAGCCGGGACTAGAACTGGCACTCAGGCCAGAGTTTGTTTGTTTGTTTTTTAATTTTATTTATTTATTTATTTGACAGGTAGAGTTACAGACAATGAGAGGGAGAGACAGAGAGAAAGGTCTTCCTTCCGTTGGTTCACTCCCCAGATGGCCACAACAGCTGGAGCTGTGCCGATCCGAAGGCAGGATCCAGGTGCTTCTTCCCGGTCTCCTACGTGGGTGCAAGGGCCCAAGAACTTGGGCCATCTTCCACTGCCTTCCCGGGCCACAGCAGAGAGCTGGATTGGAAGATGAGCAGTGCGGACTAGAACCTGCACCCATATGGGATGCCTGCGCTGCAGGTGGAGGATTACCCTACTGTGCCACAGCGCCCACCCCTTAGGTCAGAGCTTTAACCCACTGTGCCACAGCGCTGGCCCCAGTCAGTATTTTCTATTGAAGGAGACTATCTCTAGGTGAGAGAGACAGAGCTGTCTTGGGTCTCCCAGGTTGGATGTAGAGGCCCAGGGTCCTGAGCTTCATCAGAAATGGAAGAGCCAGGACCATTTGGGATGCCAACACTGCAAGTAGAGGCTTAACCCTCTAAGCCCAGCACAGAGCCCTACACAGAGCCTCTTAAACATTGTGCAAGGGGCAGGGCTTTAGCCTAGTGGTTAAAATGCCCATGTCCCATGTTGGGTTGGCGTGCTTAGTTTTGCTCTGGCTCCAGGTTCCCACCAGCGCACCTCTCCTAGGCAGCAGTGCTTCCCAGCTTCTGGTCCTTACCGCAGCTGTCATGGTATCTGGGTACTCAGCTAGTGGATGGATATCTCTCAAATAAATAAATGGATTTGAAACAGAGTGAAGGAGAGATCTCCCATCCACTGGTTCACTTCCCAAGTGACTGCAACGGCCAGGGCTGGGGCTGGGGCTGGGCCAGGTCACAGCCATGAGCTGGGAACACCTACTGGGTCTCCCACATGGGTGCAGGGGTGCAAGTACTGCTTTCCTAGGTGCTTTAGTAGGGAGCTGGATTGGAACTGGAGCATCCAGGACTCTAACCAGCACCCATATGGGATGCTGGTGCTGCAGGTGGCTGCTTAACCCACTCTGCCATGGTGCTGGCCCCATAAATAAATCTTTTTAAAAATTTGTGGATGCATGCTATGCAAAAACTATGCATAAATTTCAATTTTTTTGCACCAAAATAAACATTTTAGTTCCATTTTCCATGAAGTACCCATATTCTTTTTTTTTTTAAGGTTTGTTTATTTTATTTGAAAGTGAGAGTTACACACAGAGAGAAGGAGAGGCAGAGAGAGATCTTCCATCCGCTGGTTCACTCCCCAGATGGCCACAACAGCTGGAACTGCGCCGATCTGAAGCCAGGAGCCAGGAGCTTCTTCCGGGTCTCCCATGCAGGTGCAGGCACCCAAGGACTTGGGCCATCTTCTACTGCTTTCCCAGGCTGTAGCAGAGAGCTGGATCAGAAGTGGAGCAGCTGGGACTCGAACTATATGGGATGCCGGCACTGCAGGTGGTGGCTTTACCCGCTACACCACAGCGCTGGCCCCACCCATATTCTTAAATTATACTGCCAGAGTCTGGTTTAAGTTGTACACTTTTGTTTCTCATTCTGCCTCATGTTTTTTTAGACATTCAGGTGTTCAACATTTAAGCATGGATCTTAACTCGTTATTTGCCAGACTCAGAGTCTTTCTTCCCTAATACAGGACTGTACAGCTTTTTTTTTTTTTTTTTTTTTTGTAATGAAAAGGATTTTGAGCTTTCTGAAGATAAAAGAACAGAGGTATTTCGGGTCTTTTTCGCTGCAGCACACGAGCGCACAGGAACGGGCACTTTACAGGTGATGACGATGAAGAGGCATGAGAAGCAGAAACTGCACGCAGCTGAGGGTGGCTGTGGGTGCCGGAACATGTGGACTCGGCTGTTGGGTCTTCCAGGAAGGGCTGAGCCAGGATATGACCCAAAAGAGAGGAGGAGGGGAACGCAAGGTCTCCATTGCCCAGAATAGCTCCTGGTAACCTGAGGAATGGGAGTCAGGGGTTGAGCTGGGGTCACGTGCCTGGCAGGGGTGGAGGTGAGGCAGGGAAGTTGCCAGCCCTGTTCTCTGGGCAGCTGGAAGGAGGAGCAAGGGCGAGAGGAGCTGTTCTCAATGTTATTCAGAGCACAGAGAAAGGGTTTCCCAGTAACGAAAAAAAGGATATGATGCAGATAACTGACACTTGAAGGGCTTGGGGAGACACACAGGGGTCGGGAGGGGACAGCCGGAACTGGTGGCACAGCCCTCCTTGGCTGACCATCCTGGTTTTGACTAACGAATTCACATTAAAAAAAAAAAGATTTATTCATTTAAAAGGCAAAATGACGTGGAGAGAGGGAGAGTCAGCGAGAAAGAGAACCTTCCATCTGTTGGTTCAGCCCCCAAATGGCTGCAATGGCTGGGGCTAGAACAGGCTGAAGCCAGGCGCCTGGAACTCCATCCGGGTCTTCCAAGTGGATGGCAGGAGCCCAAGCATGTGGACCATCCCTCACTGCTTTCCCAGGTGTATATGCAGGGAGCTGGATAGGAAGTGGAGCAGCCGAGACTGAAATAGGCACTCATACGGGATCCCAGCATCCTAGGCAGTGGCTTAAGCTGCTGTGCCACAATGGCAGCCCCACTTTTCATTCTTCTAGCAAACATGAGGACTTACCATGTTGCAGTGCTGTAGTAAGTGATTGAGAGGTAGAAACTCAGATGTAATAGCATCTCTTTTTGAGTTTACTACTCACCAGCAGAACACACAAAGACACATAAAACAACTAGAAAATATAGGATGCATGCTAATTTATCTGGCATCGTGTTTTCAGAGCAGTGCTGAGGCTGGATTCAGTCAAGAGGGTCTTCCTGGAGGAGGTGTGTTTTGAGTCAGTACTTGAAGGAAATGATTGATGAAGAATGGCAGGGACCCGGCAGAAAATTGGTTGTTTCAAGTATAGGGAATGAACTAGAAAAGGTTTAAATGGCAGTACTTAGCTCATCCAATTAGTAGGGGAATAAGCGGGCAGATCGGCTTGGCAGGTCTGTTGGACCTCGGGGATCCTGTAGCAGTTAACTCAGTTAAGGCAGTGTTAATGGGGTCATAGTTCAGCCATGTATCCGGTTAATTCCTTCGCCCGGGCAGATCCTCGGTCCTCACCCGACACAGATGCCCCCTGCCTAAGTCCTCAGTCAGCTGGGGTGGGTGCAGCCGGACAAGGCCGAGGCTGGAAAGAGGAAATCTGTCCCTCAAGGGCCATCAGCCCATCTGCAGGTGCTTCCCGAGCGCCTTGTGTGAACACTCTGAGATGCGGCACCAGGGCAGTGTGTGTGTGTGTGTGTGTGTGTGTGTGAGATGTGGTGTGGTACCAGGGCAGTGTGTGTGTGTGTGTGTGAGATGCGGCACCAGGGCAGTATGTGTTGTGTGTGTGTGTGAGATGTGGTGTGGTACCAGGGCAGTGTGTGTGTGTGTGTGTGTGAGATGCAGTACCAGGGCAGTGTGTGTATGTGTGTGTGTGTGTATCAGATGTGGTACCAGGGCAGTGTGTGTGTGTGTGTGTGAGATGTGGTGTGGTACCAGGGCAGTGTGTGTGTGTGTGTGTGTGTGAGATGCGGTACCAGGGCAGTGTGTGTGTGTGTGTGTGTATCAGATGTGGTACCAGGGCAGTGTGTGTGTGTGTGTGTGTGATGTGGTACCAGGGCAGTGTGTGTGTGTGTGTGTGTGTGTGGCTGTAACAAGCCCTCTTGGAGTGCTGAGATAGAGATGTTAGGAAAGAAACAAGAAGTGGGATTATTCTCCAACCTGGGAGTTTCATGCCCTACCCACAGTTGATGGGAGAAAGGGTAAAAGGAGAGGTAACAAATATATTCATCGCATCAGTGACTACTGAGGAGCAGGCTTTGTGGTTCAGTGGGTTAAGACATTGCATGGGACGCCCACATCTCGCTCCTTTTTTTTTTTTTTTTTTTAAGATTTATTTATTTGAAAGGCAGCATAAGAGACAGAAGAGAGACAGGCAGAGAAATTTGCTTGTTCACTCCTCAAATGCCTGCAGTGGCCAGGGCTGGGCCAGGCCAAATCCAAGAGCCAGGAGCTTCATCCAGGTCTCCCACATGGGCAAAGGCACCAGTAGTACACTGGATGGGAAGTGGAGCAGCAGGGACTCAAACTGGTGCTCATGTGGGATGTCCGTGTCACAGGTTGTGGCCCAAACAGCTATACCACAATATTGATGCCTTTTTTTTTTTTTTAAGATTTATTTATGGGGTCTGCACCATGGCTCACTTGGTTAATCCTCTGCCTGTGGAGCCAGCATCCCATATGGGCACCGGTTCTAGTCCCGGTTGCTCCTCTTCCAGTCCAGCTCTCTGCTGTGGCCCGGGAAGGCAGTGGAGGATGGCCCAAGTGCTTGGGCACTGCACCCACGTGGGAGACCAGGAAGAAGCACCTGGCTCCTGGCTTCGGATTGGCACAGCTCCGGCTGTTGCGGCCATTTGGGGAGTGAACTAATGGAAGGAAGAGGTTTCTCTCTGTCTCTCTCTCTCTCTCACTGTCTATAACTCTACCTGTCAACTAAAAAAAAAAAAAAAAAAAGAGATTTATTTATTTATTCAAAAGGCAGAATGACAGAGAGAGGTCTTTCATATACTGGTTCACTCTCCAAATGGTTCCAATGGCTGGTGCTAGGCCAAGCTGAAGTCAAGAGCCTGAAACTCCATTTGGGCCCCCAACGTGGGTGCAGGAGCTTAAGCACTTGGACCATCTTCCACTGCTTTCCCAGGGGCATTAGCAGGGAGCTGGACTGGAAGCTGAGTAGCTGAGATTAGAACTAGCATTCACATGGGATGTGGGCATCGTAAGTTAACTGCTATGCCACAAGGCCAGCCTCTCCACTTCTCTATATGAAATTATTTATTTGAAAGGCAAAGTGACAGAGAAAGAGAGATGGAAAGAGATCTGTCATGTTTGTTTTACTCCCCAAATGCCTGGCTAAGGCTGGGCCAGGCCAAAGCCGGGAGCAAGAATTCCATCCAGGTCTCCCATGTGGGTTGCAGGACCCGAGTACTTGGGCCATGTGAGCAGGTCACAGAGGCAGAGCAGCCAGAACTTGAACCAGAACTGCAGTATGGAATGCCGGCGTCACATGCTGCAGTTTCACCCCCTCACCACAATGCCAGCCCCCCAGTTCCTCCATTTCTGATTCAGCTTTCCTGCTCCTGGGAGGCAGCAGATGATGGCCTATATACTAGGGCCCGTACCACTCACATGAGAGACCTGGATGGAGCTCCCTGGCTTTGGCCTGGCCTAAACCTGGTTTTGTGGCATTTGGGATGCGAACCAGCTGATGAAGAATCTCTCTCCCTCTGTCACTCAACCTTTCAAATAAATAAATCTTTAAAAATTATTATTTCTAAAGAATTATTTATTTATTTGAAATTCTGTGTTACATAGAGAAGGAGAGGCAGAGAGAGAGAGAGAGAGATCTTTCATCCACTGGTTCACTCCCCAAATGGTTGCAACAGTCGGAGCTGGGGTGATCTGAAGCCAGGAGCCAGGAGCTCCTTCCGGGTCTCCCATGTAGGTGCAGGGGCCCAAGAACTTGGACCATCTTCTACTGCTTTCCCAGGCCATAGTGGATCAGAAGTGGAGCAGCCAGTACTCGAACTGGCACTCATATGGGATGCTGGCCCTGCAGGCAGCAGGTCTACCTGCTATGCCACAACTCTGGCTCCATGACCTGGGTTCTTTACCACTTCACTGTGAAGTTTCTGCAGGCATCATGATAAAAATACCTTCCCAACAAAATGCTAAATGTAAGCCAGGCACTGTCGCTCCCTCTCTTCGTGGAGGAGCAACACAGGACTCTGCGCTGTTCTTTCGTCTGCTCGGCCCTCCCCGGGTTTGCTGCTGGTTCTTCCCGGGTTGGCTACTATCCCTTCCACCTCCGTGGAAGGGCAGTTCCCCCTGGCCGCATTCCCCACTTCCGCAGGGGAGCGGCACACCGCCGGCCGGCTCTCTCGGGGGCTGCACGGGTTCCCTTAGATGTTCCCCATAGATGTTCCTGGTGCATGCCGTCTCTCTCCTCCTTTATAGTCCTCCTCCGCCAATCCCAACTCGGCTGAGTACGCTGCTCTCCAATCAGGAGCAAGTCCTACAGTTAATTGGTTGAACTGGAGGCAGCTGTGCGGAAGCTGTTTACTTCTCTCCCAGCGACATATTGTGGGAGAGCAGATGCATAGAATAAGTCCTAATTCGAGTAACTTAGTCTAGTCCGGATTGCTCCCCACAGATCCCCCTTTCTTTTTATTTTTTAGCGTTGATACGCGCCTGTCTTCGGTGTCCCGCGGCACACACTCTACTCTACTTGCTAGAGTTGCCACAGGCTCTTACAAGTCCTATCAATCAGGAAAACCGAATCCGGGTCCTCTCTTCGCCATTGTGAGGAGGTTTTTAGGCGCTGATGCATGCCTGTGTTCGGTGCCCTGCAGCGCATGCTCTGCTCTGCCTGCAGGGGACTTACAAAACCTATCAGGCAAACCGAATCCAAGCCTTCTCATTGCCTTATTGTGGGGGAGACTTATTAGTGTTGGTTCGTGCCTATCTTCGGTGACCTGCAGCTCATACTCTGGTCGAGCTTTGCTGGCGCTTACCGCC